AATAAACTTACTGTGTATGCTTAATTATATTTTGGAAAAAATTAACAATACATCTAACCCTTTCCAATCTTGGTCAGTGTTTACATGTTTTACGTTCATGAGTTTGTCGATAATATTAATAACAACTTTAAATGAAATGGTGACTACTGTATTGCCTTTTTATTATTGCTGTGTAAAGAAATTCTAAAAAGGGTTTCACTTAAATCCTCGCTTAAATGTAAGTGGTTTTACAAATAATTGTCATTGAATTTCGGATAGTGCAGTTACGTCCTATCTAAGATGGCCTATATTAGCCAATTTTTTACGTTTTTCTTTCAGTTTCAGTTTACATTAGTAAAAAATTGGCATACAAATCGGTAATCAACTCAATCAATTAACTCAACTCAACTATGTTAATATTATTCTTAAGCCGGATTTAATTGAACATGGGAATATTATGACTATCACCAGCCAAAGCTATTATACAACGTTGCATAAGGATATTGTTTAAACCGTGATGGCGTTCTTGACCTTGACGAGAGCGCTGCAGTTTTTAGTTACGTAAGTCCTTGGAATTCGTTCCTTATCCTAGGTTAGGCCTGTTGTCCACAGAACACTAAATACGAATTCTTATTTAGTGATCTGTGCTGTTGTCGTATTTTTTTAACACTGCATGAAAATGGAATTTCTTATAAGGTGGAGGTATATTTTTTTATCTTTTCCTGGGTTTTATTCTATGCTCTGTGACCCCTATAATAGCGCAGCGCGTTCTGAAACATGCACTGGTCTAGGAGCGCACAGGTGTAAAAGCAGCACCGTTGCTAGGAAACCGTTACTTTTTTTCTGCGCGTAAGATTAATACACCAATAAAATACTGCGGTAATTTAGTCACGAGCGGCTTCTGATTGGTTGATTATTTATCATCGGCGAAATGGCGGTTTGTTAAAAAGTATCTATAATAATTCTCACGAAGGGTTTTGTCGTTGAGGTCATGCAAATGCGGAATTAAAGAAATTGTTGCATTTATAGAGTTGAATTAACTTAGTAGAATATGTTACATTTATATACTGTACCAGTACCGACAATAATTAACAACATAATCGCAGGTTGAAGGGTAGGGTCTATCTGAAACATTCGGCGTGGTAAAGATTTAAGTTTTTTTAAAAACTAAATAGTTTTGTTTGAATTTTAATCTTCGGTAGATGAAAACGTCGTTGAATGTGTAAAGTAATGGCGATTTTTTTTCTGACGCAAAACAAATCTATCTTTGGCTCCATGCTTAATTCAACCGTATTTTCATCAAGTATTCAATTCGCCAGTCAGCGACGACGTGGTCATCTCTACATTATAGATGATCAAATAATAGCAAAACTCAGATAAAATGACATTGGATGAGCAAAGCTTGTTTTAGGCATGAAATTAAACTATTCTATCCTAACCTAACCTAACCAAACTTGCTGATTATTATTAGTTTTTTGTACTGTAACAGATGTTGAGGACGTAAAATATGATTCTTTACGATAGGTTACCTTTTCAGTTTGGTAAGATATTATGAACTGTCTGTATAAAAAATTAACGGTATTTTACATTATGATACATTAATGATTTAATGATAGTCTGGCTGGATTTAATTAAGTTCTTGTATTAAGGGAACACAGTACTCCCTATCCCGCCCATGTTAAAATGACAGTTTTTAGGTACACATAACTTTTACAATTGTACTAAGTTTAATACATTATTACCAACAATAATATGAAGCAAAATAAGGTTTTGAGCAAAATTAAATTGTTAGTATGATTTTAAAAAATTTATAAAATATTTTGTAATTTTTTAACATAAAATATTTTTTTTATTTCAAAGGTTTTTGGTTGTCACGGAAACTGATTCGTATTATTGTTCCTTATCATATGAGGAACACAGACACCAATTTTTATTGAAATTGGATTATAATTGAGGAAGAAAAGTGTACCTGACTAAAAACCACTTGACTTTCGGAAAACGACAAAAGTACCCCCTGTCACGGGTAGTAGTAGGACCCTTGGGCATGCTAAAGTAAGAGTGTATAAAAGTCGCTGTATAGCTTAAAATATTTTTTTCTTCCATAATATTTGGTATGTACGTGTTCAGGAAAGTGTGTTCAACAAAACTAAATAGTAAAAAATGTTTAAAAAAATTTAATATTTGACGGCGAACCCTCTGCGTCTTGATTAGTAGTAGGACCTTGGACATGCTAAATTGGGCTGCAATAGTTAAAAAAATAGCTGAAAATTTTAAAAATAACTTTTTTCTTCCTTAATTTTTATTATATCTACGTGTTCAGAAAAGTCTGTTCTACAAAACTAAATAATAAAAAAAATTAAAAAAAAAATATATTTGAGTACTGTGTTACCTTAACTAAACTTCAACATTAGGGAATGGAATGTCTACCATATTAGGTCACTAGGCCTGTTATTAGTCAGAGCTATAAATGTTATAAAATTAACTCGACAGCATGCATTTTTATGAATCACCATAAAGGACATTCCATAGAGTTCTAAGCAAACTCAAAGATATGCTTATAAATCTGGCCTAGCACATTCAAATAATGATAACCCTTAGACTAGCTGTACTTCAGTTGAGTCTTACTAACCAGTGTTCCTAATTTGATAAGAAAACATTAGGACACTTTAGTCCACCATTACTAGAGATTGCCTGACTTCTGAATTGGCTTGTTTGTGTTGGTTTCTCTGTGTCTTCCAAGTTACCAAAACCATTATGTTAAAAACATATTGATTTAGAAATATATTTCTTGAAATTAATTTCAAAGTACATAAAATTATATTGAGCCACAAACAAAATTTTTGCATAAATTTTACTTGAGAGAATCAAATTTTATTTTGGCTTAAAGAGCAACCTTTTGTAGCATATTTGTATTTTATATAATTTTCAGAATGTTATTATGGTTAATTGGCAGCAGTGACTGTTCCGTTATGATTTCTTTCAATAAATTACCCTTGGGGTCATATTTCATATTCCAACCAATCACAAAATCTAAGTGCCCCTGTCAACCACCAGCTTTAAGATGTAACATTCAGTTGAATTGTTTTATGATTTCAACCAATGGTATACCTAATTTAGTAATTGAATACTTCATTATTTTCTGGCCCATACTGTGTTGTGTTCCTCTTATGTTAAATGTTAAGTGTAACCACTACAATTTTGTAAAGAATTTAAATATGTCTTGTAAATTACCATAGTAAATCTTTTTACAGCTGGATAGATTGTAAAATACCTTAAAAGTTAAGCCTATATTTAGTTTTGTTCATGTTAATTTCTGTTGGCTTGACACAAACATTGTTGCCGATAAAAATAAATTGAGCTGAAATTTATTATTTTCCAAAATTTTTATAAGCTAACACTTTTATAAACCGTTGACCTGTTTTTTAATTTCTCAAAGTAAACTGTTAAGAAGAACCTTAAGTAACTCATAGGTATTTTTTCAATTGAATCGTTTATTGCAGAAACCCCATAACCAACATTTTTCCCCACATGAAAAAATTAAATTAAATTAAATTAAATTAATTAAATTAAATGTTTGGTGATTTCTTCACCAAACATTTAATATACAAAAAAGTCACATTAATTTAGAAAAAAATTTGGTTATGTGGTCGCAATAAACGGTTCATTCTTCTAAGTATACACATTTATTTTTAACCACAAAACTAGTTCTCATAACAGCTCTATATTGGTGGTTACCTCATGTCAAATTCACATAACTGTGTAGACCTACTCTGATTAGCTTTGTTTATTTCCTTTATCTACTGCACTTGACAGAAGATAAGTTTATAAACAAACAATAGTTGAATCATTACTATTACATGATTAACTAATATCCTAATAGTTGTTTGTGGAATGAATTTCCAATTTAATTTACAATCCATCAATTTACACATTTCCTTAATTTAAAGCTGGTTAGATTCGACACTAGATTTAAAACCTTGAAAACCAAACCACATTATTTCGTGGTCTAATAAATAGACAAGAATACTATAGCTGGAGCTGGGTGCATGGTGCAGTTGTTACTTTAGAAAGTAATGGAACTAAAGTTGTATAGTTTGTGTAATTTGTATTTACATATTATGCAAAATTTATTTTAGAATCAAATCTTGGTTATGACAGTTTAAAGTTGTTAGTTTTAATTATTTACAGCACTGTATAGGTAATGCTGTTGTACAAAGTAGTGTCTATAGGTTGTTTTAAAACTGTAACTCATCTTACAACAGCTTATTTTTATATATGGTTTTTGGATAAAGCATATCTGTTATAATTCATTGGCTGTAACAAAAATTTGTTATAATTCATCTTATAGGGAGGAAGTTTAAATTATGTATCAGATAGTCAATAAATCCCCTTCAGTGTTATCTAAGTACTAACTAACGCCTGAACTTTAGAACTTTGGTGTTGACAATGATTGGAAATATCAAAGAGAGGAAAACTTTCACAATCTCTATTAACCTCACAGCGTGAAGTATCATTGGTTGTTTGACGCTAAGCGGTAACAATGAAGGCTTTCCATTGTTGTAAAGTAGGAAATGTTTTAAATATAAGTAGAAAATGTTTTAAAAATATATCTTAATTTTGGTTTATTAACAATGTTTAGAATATGTCTAAGTATTGATAAAGCATTACTCTCATAAAATTAAACTTTCTGCGTCTGTTCTTTGTTACCATGGAGACCAATCAATATTTACTTATTTTACTCTCACCTCAGACCTTTGAAAGCCTGCGGGGCAGAGTCCTAGGTTAATATCGAAGCTGGAATAGTTCTATATGTATTTACCCTCAGAGATGTAGCTTTATGTTTGTCCAATTTGAGCCCAGTGGGTTCAGCAGTTTGAGTTTAACTCATACAAACACACACACACACACACACACACACAGACAAACAGACAGACACCACCTCTTCTTTATAATAGTATAGATTTCACCAAAATAAGTTTGGTACTAAAGGCCAATTGATAATTTTGTTTCTTCTTTTTCAGGTAGCGTTAAGTTGACAAGAATCTCTCTCACCATGGCGTTTTGCGGAATCGGCAAACATAGTTTTGAGGTAAATTGAGATCATGGTTCTTAGAGGAAAATTATAATAAATACCTGGTGCATGGGGATCACGGGAAGTTGCTTGAACAATTATTAACTAACTATATACCATAAGTAAGTATCAAAAAGCTTTACTTTACAGTGTAAAAAACTGTGGATGAATGTTACTGGGTAGCAATTAATCAATAATTAGTTTAAGTAAAACATATAACACCCCAAACTAACACCCCTAAACCTTGCCTCGTAGATAAAAGTAATTATTAAAATATTTATTCAAGCATTCAATAGCAACCAACAAATTACATGTGATTATTGTTATTATTACTTACTGCCACAAATACTAGAAAAATACCGGTATGGATCATAAAATAACGTTTTTGACCCGACATTAAACACAACCCCTATACTAATAGCATCAATTAACATGTGGTTTTGTTTACTTTCGGGCCAAAATGATCCATGTCTTTTCTAGTATTCGTGCTTACTACATATTATAGGAATCTAAAAGAAAGTAGGAAAATATTTACTTATCTGCTTGTCATATACATACACGTACCTATAAGTCTATTAAGTCCAATCAAGGAATCATTTTCAAATACTTACTTACTTACTGCCGCGGCTCTTGGTGCCCAAGGAGGTACTTTGCCTCGCCAACACACTGCCTCCAGACTGCACGATCCACTGCTTCATCCTCCCTTCTTCCCATTCTTCTCAGGTCTCTTCTAACTTGATCTCTCCACCTCAACTTGGGCCTTCCTTTTCAAATAATGTAGAAACTTGGGCCTTCATTTTCAAATAATGTTGAAAAAAACATACCACTTTGAGTTAAACCTTTTTAACCAATAAAAACTTTAATGTAAAATTAGTGTCATAATTCTCTAAAATCTTAATACGGGACTAATCCCCCCCCCCTGCGAATGATCATTCAGATACAGATTTAATAGCTAGATAATTAACTTTAAGAGTAAACATTTCAAAGGCACAAGGTTGGTTATGTGAATGCACAAATATATCAAAACATTTTTTAAAAAGAGCTATGATTGATTATGTTGAGAGGAAAAGCTCTCAATGTCTGGTTGAAAAGCATTAAAAAAATAATATATTTTTTCCAATTGTCTAATAATCATAAAAAAGCTAATGCAGTGCTAAGGGTTGGTATAAATATTTTAAAAGCAAGTTATCTGAGGAAAATTCACGTTCCAAAATACTCGTTCTGAAGCCGAAACAAATTCTCAATTGTCGAATCTTGGTTGTCGGAAAATGAGCGTATTGTTGTACTGAGAAGAGTACTATTCGACGTTTCCAACACCTTACAACCATTCGTATTTGAGACAAGCTACAATTCAAAATCAGTACGATTCTCTAAAAATATAGCTTTGTCTTAAGGATAAATAGCTGCAAGTATTTTTCCCAGTCGTATGACACCATCATTACCTGAACACCAAGATACGATAATCTACTTTGACCTTGGTGGCCTAGTTTTCCAGTTGTGTTTTCAACGAATATTCCTCAGATAACAAAATTTGTCGCATGCTTCACATTTGGCAATCTGGTGGTGGTGCTTAGGTGGGGGGTGGAGAACGGACAATCTTTCCGGGGTTGAGAAACCTATGAAATATTCTGGTGGACCCGATCGCCTAGTGGAAGTAGTCGAGCCGCGCGGACGCAGCAGAGTTGGCATTTTGGATGGCGAGGAGCTGACCTCCGCCTGGCCTCACACTCAGACCCTCAGTGATGCGACGCAGACGACGGAAGACGACGAAGCAACTCTACGGGAACTGCTTATGAGGTATTGTCTTGGCGAGAACAGCGTTTGTTTTTGTTCAGATCAAAGGAGAAAGAGTTTAGACTACAGTTGACTCTAGGATAGTTATGTGAGCGGGAGGGTGTCGGATTACCAGAAATAATGCAAAATTTAAACTTCCACCCTGGTTATCTGAAGGTTGTGGATAATCCCGAGAAAAGTTCAAACCTTTTAAATTGTTAAAACTTAAAACTTGACCGAGCTATCTTTGATCTTGATTTTGATAAATGATCCTGGCTGATGATCCAGCTGATCTCGGTTGGAAACATTCATTCAACACTCATCATTTACTCATATTCACCTCACTCTAGTGTGTCGTAGTTGTGAAAATCAAATTAATTCAAGAAAAGAAAACCAATGACAACTTATATACACTCATTGACTATTGTACGTTCAAGTTGACAAGGTTATTTTGGTTCCATTAATGGTTTTTCTTTCGTAGGCCTGGTTATTATTCAGTACAGTTTTGTTTTACGTATGCTAAAAAAGTCAGGTACTTTTTTTATAAACCAAACATGCGCAGTAATGTGATTATTTTATTTAACAACCACTTCTATTCACTGTAAGGTTGGGAGAAGACACCGCGGCAGGAAAGAGGAGACTCCTTTCACAGCCTGAATATAAGTCCAGTCCTGTATTGAATGGGTATCAACCGATGCCTCATTCATCGGAGCAACCGATTACCGAGATTGTTGGACTATCAAGTGTCGGATTACTGAGTGTGTCAAATTATCGAGAGTCAACTGTAGTTGTTAAAAGGTTAGATGTTTACAGTTAAATGTTTCTTGAAACTTATATTAGTGTTAGGAAATACGAGGGTTGTTCAGAAAACAAGGAAAGCTCAGACGCCGATTTACATGTGGTGGTCGTGTACTTCCTAGTTCACATGTTCACCTACTCAATGACTGTCCAAGTATCATAGTGGTAGTTTAAAAAGTGTGCTGCAATTGAAAATCCCTCAAGTTATAAGGTGCAGATAGTACGGTTTTTGTTGGCTACACTTAAAACCCCTAGAAATTTATCCTCAAGGTTGTAAAGGGTACGGAAACAACGTAGTAAATGTAGGTTCTGGAAAAGGTGCACTGGTTTTAAAATGGCCAAACTAAGGTTTGCGTCCAAAATTTAAATTTTTTTGCATGATAAAAAAAACACCCTCCTGAACTCACACATCAAATGCACACATGTTCGCCTTCAATCATTCAAACGGAAGATTTCCCCTCAACCACCCACCCCACAGTCCATACCTGGCTCCGATTGACTTTATTTTGTTTTGAAGACTTGGTTAGGAGCACAGCGATTTGATTAAGACGAGGACCTCCAATAATTGTGTGTCACTGGGTGGCTGAGCTCGTAAGTTGCAGAATCGACAACATAGGAATTTCAAAACTCGTCCACTGCTTTTATAAATGCCTCGATTTGTTTGGCCGCTATGTAGAATTTCAATCTATAAAATAAAATAGTTTTCTTGGACCAACTTTTTATTTTATTCAAAAACGTTCCTTACTTTCTGAACAGTTCACGTATTACCCTACCCAGATTATTTAACATTTACATCTGTACCTATGTTGTTTCTTTTGGATGGGGTCATAAATCATTTTGCAGACAATAAGAAATCTTTACGACAGACATTACTCAGCTTTTCTCTTCTGAGAAGTAAACTAAATTGATTTTGTGTTTTAGCTTATTTATTTTAGTTCTCGGTTATTTATTAAAGGTACCGTGTAGTCTTCTAGTTAACATTTATAATTATTATTATTAAGTTTCCTCATAACTGTTATTATTTGGTAGGTACCATGGTTTTTCCTTTTTAATGGTCCATAACTACAACCATTAATGCATCTCAATGACTTATTTTTTAAATATGAAAACTTTATTAATAAACGTGAATAAGTGTGGTATCTACTGGGTTTTGTTTTGTATTTCCCTGTATTGTTTTAATTTATTTTATTACATTTAATTGTATATTCTTCTATCAGTTTACTTTATTTTCTTGTATTATTTTGTTGTATACCGGTAGTCTTATATTGTTTAATTGTATTCTGAATATTTGTGGTGACCTAAAATTACAAATGAAGATCCTTTTAAGTTGGAATTCTATATGTGCCCTTATATAACCAACTGTACAGCTTGTTTTAAAATAAAGCCTTTTCAGTAATTTGGGTATTTTTGGGGCCTTAATTGGGTATTTTTCTAGATATTGTTTAGTTTGATGTTTTGAATATAAAATTAGTTGGATATAAATTAAGACCAAACTAAAATGACCGTTTGGAGTAAACGTTATATAGATTTTGTAGGTCAAACAGCTAGTATCAAAAACTAAGAGAGAAATAAACACCGACTACAGTGGGCCTTTGATTGCGAAGTTCTCTTATAGTATCCAAGGCAATAGTAAGCTTGTTCTACAGAGTGTTTGTTTAAAACCAATCGAATTTACAAGAGCAAACCTGTAGAAGTAAAAAAAATACCCCCCGCTGCAGCAAACCTGCAGACTAAGCGAATTTCCATTAGCCTGATAGGATTTACAGTAAAATGTCCCCTTAAAAATATCATATTTATTCCCTATTTAAATAGAATTAGTTTAACAAGTACTTAGGTTTGCTGCAACAGGGAGGGTAAAAAGGTGTTTTTTTTATGTTAGTTTAGTAAGAAATGAATGTATTTTCCAAATTCAATCAAAATATGTTCATAAACAAGCAAACTACAACAGTTGACTTATTCTCCATAAGAATAACATGGGGATTTTAAATTTACAGTTTTTTGGAATTTTCTCCGTAACCATTAGGCGCACAATAACGCTTCAATATACAAAATTATTTGTTTTCTTACGCTCTACAAAATGGTTTGAAAAGAAATTGTAAAATTATGTGTTTTTAGGGTCAAAAATGAGAAAAACCTATTTTTACCCCATAAAACCCCCCATAAACCCCCGTTCCCATAGTCCGATCATGCTGGTTCGCGAACTCGTTTGAATAAATGTAGGTTTACACGTTTGTACCAAATTTCATCAAAATCGGATCATTTTTGCTCGAGTTATCGTGCTAACGGACACATATATATATATATAAATATATATATATATATATATGAATTTGAACGGATGGTGATTTTGGCCTCTAGGGACCTCAAAACGAAAAAATAAATCGGTCCCGGGTCCAGGTCTTACCATGAGTACTACGGTAATAGCTTATTCCCTATATGGGAAATTCGCTAATATTCCCTATATGGGAAATTCGCTAAAAAAAAAAAAACCATAAGTTATAGTTCAACATTAAGCTTTATTTTTCTACTTAGTCTAATGTCTGATTTGCATAACTGCTTTGCTAAATATGCTATATGGGTTCATGAGTGATTAATTAGTTAATGGCAAACATGGTTTTCAACTATGTAGCTCGGTTGGAGACTCAGTACCTAAAGCATTAATACAATTTATGGGCTCCAATATCAGCTGTTCAGGCTATTTCCATTGTTATAAAGCAGAAGATAAATGCACTAAAAATCTAAAGTCTAAAATTTGTTGCATATATCAACTATTTTAGCTACATCAGCACAAAATTGCAAATACACTTTTGGCTGATTTTGTTTACTTTATGTTCATATATTTTTTTACCTGTTTATTTTAAGTGCTAAAAAAGCTGATAAACACAAAAACATAACAGTACAATAATGTTTTATTCATAACAACTGCTTTTTAGCGAATTACCCTATAGGGAAGTAGCTATTACCGTAGGTCTCATGGTAAGACCTAGGCCCGGGACCGATTTACTTTTTCATTTTGGTTTCCCCAGAGGCCAAAAACACCATTCGATCAAATTTATATATATATATTTTTTTTGATAGTTCTGTTCTCTTTTTAGGGCTACTTTTTCAATTAATAAGCGAAATAACAAAAACCAGAGTACGGTAACCTGAAATTCATTTTTATTTAAACTGATGCGTATTATGAATAACCTTAAACATAAATGTTAATTTAATAGATTAATTGAAAACCAATCCAGGCAAATGGAAATTCGCTAAGTCGGCAGGTTTGCTGCAGCATATTTTACCAAATCAGAAGAAAAATTTTAAGTCAGAAAATGTTCAGCTGATCCCCTTGACTCCAGCTGATCCCCCCCCCCCCCCCAAGGATAAAAAGAACTACTTAAGCCCCTCAATGCATGTGTAGAAAACAGCGGTATTTTCTGCAATGTGACTAAAACTATTTATAGCTACAGGCAGTGCTCGATTTGTAAAAAATTAGGTGCCGAAACTGTATCCTATTTAATGTGATTAGTACCTATTTACGTACCAATTTCTACCAATATTTTTATCTTTCCGAAAGAGAGGTACCAGAACTCCGTTCTGCCGCGTTCCCCTACAAATCGAGCACTGGCTACAGGTACTTACTTCAGGTACAGGTACGTTTGAAAATAAACAACCTGTACAGTCAGAACAAGGTTTAGCCAATGTATAGTAGCTTGTAAAAGACAGGGTTTCATTATAGTTACAATTATTATATTCAAGTACAAGGAATTTTTACAAATAATTTAAAACAACTTTCAAAAGCCTCACAAGGTCTGCAGCTAACTGTAGATAACAATGCCCCCAAAAATGCATCAGCAGCATTCCACTTTTTGATTTATCAAGAGCTACATGAACTGTACCGTAGGAAATGAATATAAAGTAATAATAAATAAAAAATTAGTAAAGGCGATGCTCGGGTGCAGTCTACAGAGACAGGTGAGCATCATGAGCATGAATCTGTCGGCCAAGCTGGATGAGCTGCAACAACGGGGCGACCGTCAGCTGGAGACGACCGTCGCCCTGTGCGAGATACGCAGCCAGCTGCAGGAGCTCACAAAGTCTGTCGAGTCGTGCCAGTCCGAGGTGAGCGAGGTGAAGCGGGACATGGTGGCGATCAAGAACGAACTCGACACCGTGCAGCAAGTCAAAGAGGAAATAGAAGAGCTGCGGGAGTACGTGGACCGACTGGAGGAACAGACGCATCGGCGGAAACTGCGGCTGCTGGAACAGGTGCCAACCTAACCTAGATGTCTGCATGCAACAGGCGGAATGAGCCTTGCACTCTTTGTTTTCAATGTTAGTTTGTGTCAGAATGTGCCAGATTTAAGCCTCTCATACACGATCGGATTTGATCATACAGTGAGTAACAATAGTGTTGTCGGTTCAGGTGCTGAGAAATACTTTTTTTAAGGTTCGAAAGAAAATGGAGCGTGCTGTCCTTAATCATTGGGATTTCAATAAATCGTGTATGGGTGGCTTAAGACTGAAGCCTCCGTTTAATCACTGTTTGTTTCCGTTTTTGTTTTCGATGCACCTTACTTTACCTCTGGAAATAGTGGGGGTCACAAAAATTGTGAGTGAAAGCAATAAATCAAATTTAGTTCTCAAATTTTGTATTTTAGAATAGTTTTTATCCGTTTGTTATTGTTCTGTTTTCTGATTTTGCTTTGTGTAGAATCAGGTAAAAAGATATTGCCAACAAATTAGGACTAAAAAAAAACAAATCTATTTTTAGTTTAGTAGACTTTATTTTCAGTTAGTTATAATTACGTAACCCTAGGAATTCTGGAAAATGATTAACCTAAAAGTGTAATAAATATGTAATTTAGAAAGTTTTAATTTAAATAACCGAGCATAACCAAACATATCTAAACATTTTGCATGAATAATTTTACTGTTATTTGTGTTTTCACTGATTACTGGTAAAATTCCACATGAAAATCCAGACCAATCAAAATGTGTATCTCAATTAAATCTATTCTTATTTTAGTTAGGACTTTCTCAATCTAAAAACATGTAGGCACATTTTATCACTACTTTTCTGATAGTTAAATAACCTACTAACAAATCATATTTATTAACCATTTATTGTAGTATCAGAGAATGTCAGATCTAAACAAGTTTCTAAAAACATTTATTTTACCAGAAAAACAAAGTTACCAGAAAAAAACCGTAATTCAAATAAAAAACTAAATAATTAGTGAAAGCAACTGTTACAGCTTGCAAGAGAGGTTTTGCGTAGTTTATATACAAGGTACATACTAACAACCAATTGTCTATCTATGGCAGCTACAGCATTATGGACAAAAGGCAAAAGGAGTGGTAACTATGGTTCATTGTTGCTGGTTTGCTATGTACGATGCATATTATTGGCTTTGTGCCATTAGTGCTCTATAATATATGATAGGCTTAGATATACATAAACGTGACAAATTAAATGCTTGATTAAAAATAATTTTTGCATCCCGAAACAATGCAATCTAAAATTTTGAATGAGCGCTTAACCGGAATTGCATTCTTAGATTGTAGTCGGAGAGAAAGATTTTTTGGGATTGCATCAAGGAAGCACAGAAAGGTTAGACTGTGAGGTTCACTTTTGTAGGGTTCTAGTTATGATGGTAGATTAAGTAATTGTAGTTTTATATACGTTGAACCATAATTTGGATATGTTCAATAATATTTACAAAATATTCTGATTTTATATTTGTTCGATGTGAAAGAGTGAGAAAATAGTTATTTACCTTAACCAGACCAATAGCTATTATTACTATTATTATTTTATCCTTTTGATTTTTTTTTAATAAAACAATTTATTATGTATTAAAAAATATAATAAACAAATTATAGCATTGATAATAATACCAAATTAGTTTTACAATTTAATATTTATGTATCCTATTAAGTAAGAATAAACTCCATGACAGGATGGCAAATGTTAAAATTTGTTCTATCGTTATTGGTTATTGGTTTTAAGTTTAACAAACCACACTTATGTATGTTTTCGTTTTATAAATTTGACTTAATGAGGCATTTTATTATTACTATACAATGGATCTTCCTATATACAGTGGACATTTCTATACTGTAGAATATACAGTAACCCATTTATTATTGGTATTAACATTTTGAATACAAAAATTCTCACCATACCAACTGTGTTCTTTCATAACTAAACTGTTAATATTATTATTTAATAAACATCAAATGTTTTCTTTTAAAACCAAAGATAACAAATAATGTACTCTCAATCACTTTAATACCTATAGAATATGTATGTAAATAAATGGTATCAGCAATCTAACACATACTTTTTCCCATTAGCTTTATCATGGGGGTGGGAGTATGATATTTAATAGTAAAAAACCACAAAAGTTTAGTTAGAGTTATAAGGACCATACTATTTTAATCAAAACAAGCTTTTTCAAGAATCCGATTTTTTGTTTTTTTATGGGAAAATAACATCAGTTACAATCACTTTTGAACCGTAATTTGTACAGAAAAGTCAATGGTATAACATACTAAACTGTTATCAAAATCGTTCATGCCATTTTTGAGAAAATTCAATTTTTTCATTATTTTATGGGTTTTTATAGGACAATCCCCATTAAAAACCAAAATTTTAAAAAAATATGAAAAAACGCCCAAAGACACTATGAGTTAGTACCTACATACCAAATTTAATCAAAATCAAACTGCATGTGTCATCTTTAGCTTTGTACACATCCACAGACACATACACAAGCACACTCACACACAGACATCACTTCGAAAACCACTTTTTTGGGTTCAGAGGGTCCCAAAACGAATATATCTACTCAAAACTCAAACTCAAAAATGTTGGCGAGAACAATAAGTACCTTCTCCATGTGGTATATGGGCAGAAAGAAAAATGAGATTACGGTAGGGTAACTACTATTCATAGTGTATAATTTACTGTTTGTCAACTATAATGGTCTTTTATAATTTGCTTTTACGTGTGTTAATCAGTTGTGTAGTGACGTGGGAACGTGTGTGAATGGCGTTCCCACTCTGCTTTTTCCAAAGAACCTATATATTGGTAAGCGACCTGTTCTGTGAAATGATGACCTGTTCTGTGAAATGATGAGCGTTCCAACACTGGAAAATTTACGACTACACCACTGGTGTTAATCATAATTTTATGAAAGCAATCATAATTGAACATAAATCTATCAAATCAAAATTGTTAATATACTCACACTATATTTGTAAAGTGTATATTTTAACTGTATATTTTAACAGATAAAAATATGTTGCAGTGTTAAATCTTTTCAGGAATATTCTAGCTGCCACTTGGATGGATTGGAGTTTTTGTTTAGTCGCATGTGCATGTAAACATTAGTTGTAAATTTGACTCTCAATGTTGTTTTACAGATTTATCTAAGAAAGCTTTAACCTTTTCCGTATGGAAACAGTTAGGGTATTTTCATTCATTAGTTTTGCCAAGTGAAATGAATCTGCATGATTGTTCTATCATTTGAATGAAAAATGTATATTGTATTAGAAATTTAAAATAATATAGGGTTGATTTTTGGAATAGTTGGCTAGGTTGTTGTATACAGATTGTCTGATTGATTTAATTTTGAATGCTGATCTACTTGCTTAAGATAGTTGGTGTGGTTTAATATTTAAAAAGCAATAGAATAGAACTTTATAGTGAACAATAAACATTTATTTTCAGTGTTCCAGCACAGCCGGGAAAACAGGTGACATTGTCGAGATGTACCTTAAACTTTATAAAGTATGTTTTGTTATCTAATTTTTTTAAATATTCAAGGAGATTGCAGGTTTTATTTAGATTTGCACTAAACATTGTAACGTCTTAAGAAAAGTCTCTTTTAAAAAAGCTCATATTGAAAGTGTAATTGTTCCTGAGTTCATCAATCTTGAATAGAGCTGTTGAACTCTGTCTTGTAAAAAAAAACGTTGTATGTAAAGATGAGGAATCCTTTTTATGACTACAACTAGCCTTATGATGATTTTTAAACCTACGAATACTTATCTAACATTGTAGTAAAAGTTAGTTATATTTTTCATGCAAAATTTATATTATTACGTATACTCTTCATTTCATTCAGAATTATAATAATTTTTCAGGTAAAACATTAAACTGTATAAAAGAACAATTCATGTTTCCGATACACAGGAAATATTAACACAAGAGTGTTTACGATTGTTGTTTGGAAGGGGCAAAAATTCCCCTTGAACTGTGTCGTAACCCTGAGACTTGCGTTTCAGTGATAAAAAAAAATACTAAGAATGATTGTTTGTTACGATTGTGGTTTTAAAGAAACAAAAATTAAATTTGAACAATTGTTGATCCCCAAATCTTGTGTTTCAGGGTCTGACGTTCTTCCTGTGTTATACGATCCTCGCCGCTATGCTGGGAATGTTGCAGTTCGGCTACAACACAGGCGTCATTAATGCTCCTGAATTTGTAAGTTGTTCTTATAGCTTACTACCTAATCTGTATTTTAAAATTATAATTCAAGTATTCTCGAAATAATTTAAAGCAAAGTCACTGATTAGGATATTTTATTAGGAATAGAATATAGACTAGCTTACCAGAGAAAATCAGATTCCAGAGTTATTAGACACTAAAAATTTGTCAAACACTGATATTAAGCAGTTGAAGAGAAAAGATTTTCTAATTCATATTCAGAAAGTTTTATCAAATGAAATAGTAACAAATTTAACCCTTTGGGTCCCAAAGATAGGTATAAGGGTCTCTTGCAACCACATGCCACATGAACAAACTATGTCACGTTATTCAGCATGTCAAAAGAACAAAAAAATGCAATATAACCTTTTTTTCAATCTCATTCCGTTTTCGGTCTGTCTTTATGTAGTTTTTACAAAAAACTTTCATAACTCCTTATAACTGCTTGTGCTGTAGCATTGAAATTCTGTAAAAATGTTAATCTTATTGACCACAATTTTTTTGCAAAATATGAAAAAAAACTCTTGAACCGTAAAAAATTGCTGCTTTATAAAATATCTTTGACCAAATTCTATAAAAACCGTTAATTTCACAAAAAAATATTTGCAGGTAATGTAAAATCTAGTAAAATATTATGCAGATTACAATGATATCTTTTAAGCTTAGTTAGGACAAAGATTAACTGAGGAATCAATTTTTTTCTTGCCATACTGGTACCTACAGTTTACTCCATTTAAACAATGTTAAATTGTTAAAACTACTTTTTAACATTGTTTAAATAATGGAGAAAACTGAAGATATGGCAAGGCAAAAATTAATTTCTCCATTATTCATTGTCCAAAATAAGCTTATAAGGTATCGTTATAATCTGCATGAAATTTACTAGATGTTACTAGATGTCCCGTCAATATTTTGTAAAATTAAGGGTTTTCATGGAATTTTGTATAAAATATTTTTAAAAGCCACTATTTTTAAGCTGTTTGAAGAGTTTTTATTCATATTTTGCACAAACATAGTGCTCAATAAGGTAAACATTTTTACAGAATTTCGACGCTGTAGCTCAAACAGTTAAGGAGTTATAAATATTTTTGTAAAAATCACAAACAGACAGATAGACCGAAAACGCAATGAGATAGGATGATACATGTTAGGCCTATATTAAATTTTTTGTTTCTTTTGACATGCTGAATTGTGTGAAAAAGTTTGTTTATGGTTGCAAGACGCCCTGTATATCTACCATCAAGAGCAGCATCACCAAACCTCCACTTACAACTCTTTATGCCCAACTCAATAAAACCGTCTTAAATGTAACATGTACTGCTTGAAGAATTCAATCATAGTTACTTCCATTTGGTTTTGGGGTTTACCATTTTTGTTAGTACTGTGGATTTAATCCAAATTCAGTAAAACTATCTACTTGCAAACTATTACTTGTGTTACAACAATGAACGAGTAAGCTTATAATGTAAAAACTGCCCTTAAAAAAGAAAAAATGTTCTGAAATTAGCACAATCAAACGTGACATGAAATCTAAAAAGCAGAGCAGAGATCTAATGTTAGAATAACATGATGAATCAGTTTACAATAGGTAAACAATTTTAATTGTGTAGAGTGGATAATACGATAATACTCAACCCAAAATCGAAAGAGGTTTGACTATTTATATTATTAAATTTGTAAAAGATAAAGAATACTTTATAGAAGTATAAGAGACTAGTGAAGTATGATCTGAATGATAAAGATGTCACTGATGATACAAAAGTTGATTGTAATTGATTTAGTCATCCGAGTGCTGTCACCCAACATGTGTGCAGCTGTTTTGAAGCTATAAACACATTGCTCTCCCTTGAGCCAGTTTCTGATTAAGAGGTGGATTATGTATGCGTTCTGAACAACACAGTTAAAGTATTGCTTACACTAACTGAACTATTGTTGATCAACCACAATTTGTTCCATGTTTTCATACATTTCATTTGCATATTGATGAAATCAGTTAGTTTCTATGGCTTATTTTCTTAAAATAAGTCCTCAAAAATGTAAAAAAAAAACAGCTAAATTGGCCACTCATAGATTTTTCTACATACTGAAATCCTTATTTATTCTTTTAACGAATTTCCCATACAGGGATTAAGCCATTATCGTAGGTCTCATGATGAGGCTTCATGGTGAGGGATGGCTTTACTTTGTCGTTTTGATGTTTTGAGACTAAGAACATATGTTCAAATTCATTTTGTATGTCCATTAATACTTTTCGGTATTTTAAGCCAAGTATGGATGGAGATTAGTGTAGGATAAGTGGTGCGCTCTTGTAGTCTTGGTAGGCTGACATGTTTCTTAGATACGGCTGTCAATTAATAGCCCATACAAGGCAAACTAAGGGACCTAAGCCTTATAGTGGAATCCAAACCACACTTTTGCCTTGTAATTAATGAATTGGTCTAATTATCAGGATATAGTACTGTGGATAGTAGTAGTACTCACTAGTGCGGACGTTAATCCACACCAGGGAATATCGCATCCATAGTGCATGCCTATAAATATCCACAATTCGTTACCAAGATTAGCATGATAAATTGAGTAAAAATAATTTGATTTTGGTGAAATTAGGTACAAATGTGTAAACCTACGTTAATTCAAACAAGTTTACGAACCACTATGTTTGGACTAAGAGAAGAGGGTGTAATGGGGTAAAATTTGGGTATTCCCATTTCTACCAGCAAAACATATATTTTTTTCTAAACTATTTTACAAAGCTTAGAAATCAAATAATTAAGTACATAAAACACATTAAGTACATTAAGTAATTAAAGCGTTATTGTACATCTAACAGCTACAAAGAATTTTTCTATTTATGTTAGCTTCCCATGTTATTCTTAGAGAGAAAAAGTAAACTGTTGTAGTTTGCTTGTTTATGGATATATTTTACAAAAATATAAAATTTTAAATTTTTTTTATAAAATTTGCAAATTAAGTCATTTGAATCCATGCTATTAACCTTTCAATAAAACCCACACTATTACGTTCCCTGCCGCAGAAAACCTAAGTACTCATAATACTTAAGGTTATTTCAATACAGAATAAATCGGACAATTTTAAGGAAATTATTTGAGTGAAACCCCAATTATGAAATTGGAAATTTGCTTAGTTTGTAATTTGGTGCGGGTTATTTACTGTGATGGTAGTTTATGTATATCAGACATAAAATATGCAAACTACATCTCGTTTGACCTATTTTTCTTTGTATTTGTATTAACATAGAAGTAAGTATGGCCTTCATAAAACCAAATACCTCAGGGGAATGACAGTTTATTTACTTTAATACTTTACAATGAAATGGCGACCATACAAAGTAGGTATTTTAAGCCAAGTATGAATGGAGATGAGTGTAGGATGAGTGGCGCGATCTTGTAGTCTTGTTTTTTTACACACACTAAAGCAGCTCAACTTTTAAAAAGACCTTTTGTTAGTTATTTTGTCAAATTGATCTTCGATAACTATAGCTATAAAAATCAAAGTTTGTGTGTCAGATATAATATTTATTGATTTGCATATACCCATTTTATTCATATTATTTTGGTAACTATATTACTTTGCTAAAAAAATGTTATCAAGAAATAAAAGCGTTGAATAGTTCATGTACCTGTACAAAGAAATGTGTTGATAATTTTACTGGATGATGGATGTATGATAAAGTTAAGGCTGGATTTATGATTGCCAGAAGTTCAAATAGTATCAATCAGTTAAAATTTTATTTTTATTGTGTTGCTTTAGAGAGATTTTAAGTACAAACATTATGCATTATATTACTTGAAGAATTTCTTGCCGTTCTATCACGTCTATGTTCTAAAACATAACCCTAAGTCTAACAATAAGGTTGATTTTCCAACTTAGCGACCACCAATTTTTTTAGGATTTTAAAGTAAGTATCGATTTATAAAAGTATTTCTGACAACCAATTTGTATGTTCCAGAATATAGAGAACTTTATGAAAGATGTGTACAAAGATCGCTACGGTGAGGATCTGCAGGAAGAGTCGGTCAAGTTGTTATACTCGTTGGCAGTGTCGATATTTGCAATCGGAGGAATGTTGGGTGGATTCAGTGGCGGAGTCATTGCAAATAAGTTTGGAAGGTTAGTGGAATTTGTTTGTGAAATGTTGCCCAGTTTCCCTGTCATCTGGGCCATCGTGGACTGGTTCATTTATATAATGCCACGTTTTTACTTAGTGGAATAACTTAGTCTGCTACACACGCTCAATTGGGGTTGTCAGTTAGAATTGTCCATTTCCAAGTTATGCCATAAGTTAAAATGTAACGCTTCTTCTTATACCTATCGTTTGAACAAACTTTTGTATAAATATGGCCAGTCAGGCTTGCTCACATAAAATTGAACATTGTAGCAGGCTTTAGAGTAATTAATCTTAACTCGACAACAGTGACATTGATTTTAAAACACTAGAGATGATACTGAGAGTTTTTTTTAAGTTATAAAATCATGGCAAAAGTTGTATAATACAGTTTAGATTAATGAGATAAATATACATTGGACACTTTAGTGAGACTATGAAAAGTACTGTACGAGAAAACCACTAGAGGTGACTCATGGAACTAAACTCCAGGAAACTTGAATGCATGAGGTAAATGAACCTTGTACGCAATACTCAGTAGCGACTCAAGATACGTTCACAGAATAATATTTTGACTGAAAGTAATAGGGCACAGTAGGCGTATTTAGTCTGAGCGTGCGGCCGTGCTAGCGCCCAGGGTGTAGGGGGGAGTGTGTATTGCTCATTTCCAAAAATATACGGCCCACACGGCTCTGGGGTTGTTCAGCTGTCTTCATGAGGCGGGGTGGAGGGGGTGGGTGAAATGTACACAGGACGGCTAGTAGAGACAGAACCGCACGCCCAGTCTGCTTGCGCTTACTGTAGTGTGGGGGGATTTTGGAAAGTAAAATTAGGTCGAGTCTGTTCCAAGGAAGATAAGTGTGAGGCCTGGTGACTTTCACGACTGCTGACTGGCAAAAACACATATATTTTTACTAAAATACCTAGTTAAACCTAGAGGAAAACTGTGAATTCACCTCTAATTTTGTCCTTAGTTACCTACTGTAGATGAAATTCTTGGATGTCCAACTTGCCATAAAGTTGTGGTGTGAAGCAAAAAACCGTGGCTCCTCTCTTCGGTAAATTCTCGTGGAGGTCTAGTCAATTAGATTGTAGAACAAGGTCTTTTAGAGTTTTGTGTTTTACGAATTATTTTAGCACAGTGTGATGGTCAACAATGCGCAAAGTAAAACTATGTAAAGGAGATACTTGAATTTTAACCAATCAACTAAAGGATGTAGTGCTAATAATTAAAACAGGCCAACAATTAAATATAAATTGACTATCAATTAATTGTCAAATAGTATACAGGGTGAATCAGACCACACGTGCACATACTATTGACGGGATATACAGTCGCTTGTGTAACTCACTGACTCGTTGATCAGGTATACAATCGTTTACCCACTTCTAGAATAGCTAGGGATCTGAAATTTTTTGTGGAGGTCCGTCTCAGTACCAAACTACCAGGAAAATCTAAGGAGTTTTCCGAAAATTGCACTCCTTCACCTTCAAAAAGCGTCCTACTTCCAAAAATTGGAAATTTGGTTTTTTGTAATGTTTTTAAATTATTTTTCAGAGATATATTTGTGTTTTTAATGCTCCCAACAACGAAAAAAAGTACCTAAAGTGACATTTTAAATTGTAACCAGCTAAAAATAAATTTTAATGGCAGATTTTCAATAAAAAACGTTGGTTTTTAACCCTTGTTGGGCCAAACCGTTGTGCACGGGTGGTCTGATCCCCCCTGTATAACCAGTTTATTATGTTATGGTTTTGGTTTTTTTTTCAAATTGTATGGCAAAAGTAATAAAATATTTCAGTTAATATACAAATGATTCTTTTAAAACACAGCTATTATTGTTAGCGAAAATTACATAGATTGTCCTCTTTTACGCATGACAACTTGATTTGTTAACAAAACAATTAATAGGAGTGTTGACAAATTTGTTGAAACACAATTTACTGTGCAATCCAGCAAGCGATTTGGTTAATTATTGATAATGAACATAAGTTTATCCTTACAGAAAGGGTGGCCTGTTGCTGAACAACATTCTAGGAATTTGTGGAGCGTGTATGATGGGATTCACGAAGATAATGCATTCGTATGAATTGCTTTTTCTTGGTCGTTTTGTTATCGGAGTCAATTGTGGTGAGTAGAGTACCGGTACCGGTAGATTATTTAATATAATGGAATTTTTTTGTGTTAAATCTGTATTTCCAGCTGATATGTAGACTATAATTAGTTGCACAGTAATCCATAACACATGTAAACCATGTTATGACATTTAGGCTAGACAAGCCCTGAGTGAAAAGGAATGGTCAAAATATAACAAATATTACAGTTTAATGTAAATTTTACTTATACGGAAGACTCTTTATCATTCAAAATTGTTGGGTCAAAAGCATATAAATTTGAATTATCAAGAGTTTTGAATTGTCATGAGGTTTGATTTATCGAGTGAAAAATAAACCATTTGAATTACAGTGAGTTCATTTTTTAAATACTGTATTATGTGAATGTGAGCTAGGTACCGGTACAGAACGTTGCAATTAAAAAGCTTATTTTAGTCACTTTACAACAAACAATAGCAATTATAATTTGGTTAGTTACAAAAAATCTGTTATTTTTATTTGCTTTTTGATATTGATTATTGTGTCATCAATGCTGTTATTTAAGACAAACTACTGTGCTAAAACGATGTATAGTTTCCTGTTACGACAGGAAGAAATTTCCCCCTTCGATTTATAGAGTGTTTTGCCGACAAAACTTTGAATTACTGTGAGTTCCAAATTGGAATTTGAAATACCGAGCGTATCAAAATGCATGGTGAAACTAAAATATCAAAAGATTCTCTATAGACTGAGCTTTAATTTTGAATTATCGAAAGTTTCGACTTATCGAGTGTTTGAATTACCAAGAGTAGACTTCACTAATGTGCTGTATAGCTTGAATGACTAAGTTTTAAATTAAAAAGGTGGGTCCAAATAAAAAGGCAGGTGTAACCTATCAAGTGTTTCTTAGAATAACTACAGAGAAGTAAAATACAGAGGAAATATGCTTTTGGACCACCGTAGGCTGGAATGGTGGCTTTTAGCTCTGGAATGGTGTGCGGAAATAGTACCGAGTACCGAGCAAGGAAGAGCCTGAACGGCTATTGTTTACAACAGCAGTTGTAGCTCACAGGCTCTTCCTACAGCATGGGCACTGTAGTACAGGATGATGAGGGGGAAAGGAGAGCGGAAGGGGACGAGACGACCAATCGAATTTGAACTAGACAGAAGCGACTGGTGCTAGACTTGACTTAAGTGTACCAATGAATGTTTAATCTGTATCTTACTTCTCTGTGAAATAACTTAAGACCAATAACTTGTGTTGTTGTGCATAATTTACACAGTAACTGAATTTAAAGTTTAATAATAACAATGTGCCATCAATCGCAATGTCCATTGTCAATTTTGCATCCACCTCTTTTTCCTGTCAATGCCTGCATTATTGTCTCTAACACATTGCAGCTTGCACGCTTGTACTTGTGCAGGTTTAAACACGTCGTTAGTGCCGATGTACATTTCCGAGATTGCGCCGCTGAATCTCCGAGGGGGGCTAGGAACTGTCAATCAGCTGGCCGTCACAACGGGACTTCTCATCTCACAAATCCTCGGAATCGAACAGATCCTCGGCACGGATGACGGGTGGCCTGTGCTATTAGGTAAAATATTTTCAAACGGTGCTTTTATGTAAAGGATTTATGCAAGGATTTATGCAGAAAACTACTAGGTAAAACCTAGTAGTTTTCTGTATGATTTTTGTCAATTATTTACGAGTTACACTATATGGTTGTCTACTTATTTGGTATTCAATTAAAACTCCTAACCCTTTAGATTAGACTTTTGTAGTAAAGAATCCAGCTCCCATGCTAATTCAATAGATGTTTCTGGTATTTAAAAACAGTTAAATATTTGTCAATCACATTGTTATTAGTTACATATTTACAAATAAAAGGAAAGCCATACCTTTGTTCATGGAGAGTAAAGTAGTAGAAATCCTTTTCATCTGTTAAAGCTGTAACCATTTATGGAATGAAAAGAAACATATTGTTAACCCTTTGAGTGCCAATGTCCGGGGAACCGGACGTTCTTAAAACGAGCCAAAAGTGCCGACGTCCGGCCGACCGGACGTTTTTAGAACGAGCCAAAAGTGCCAACGTCCGGCTGACCGGACGTTTCGTAATGATTGAACAGTTGTCATAACAACCGAATGGATACTCGGATTCTTTTAACCCATATATTAACATTGAGTCGAAAGTTACTAGATGCGATACATCGATTTTCGTTGGTCGAAATATCGAAAATTCGATTTTTACGAAATTTTAACCTAAAAATCGCCAGATCGCGCTCGGCATTTTTAGCGCGACCTTCGGGAAAAATCATCGGCATTTTTTGAGCGTTACTTTTATTTCTCGCCTGGCACTCTAAGGGTTAAATTAATCCACCGACTGAGTGTTGATGTAGAATTGACATACAACGACTGTTTTACAAGCCAAAGATTAAGTATACTCTACTAGATTTTATGTCACATAAGATATTGAATTTTTACAGCAGCACACACTCTATGATCAGTTTATTTAACTATGTTCAATTAATTAACATATCAAATTGAATACAGCTGGTTCATATAGAGTGGATGTATATCCTATCTAAAAACCAATGGTTATACGTTTGGTTAAAAGTCAATGGTTGTAATTAATTATTTTTTTAGTTATATGCGTTTCAATAAGGTAATGTAGTCGAATTTGAATAACAGGAGACTTAAAGAGTTGACAAATGTTAAGGAGTAAATTTATGATAAAAATAATAAATTATCTACTGTAAAACTAATTCATAGTTTCATGCTGCATGAATGTGATCAGATTCAATTTGATTACGGTAGCAATTTTTTACAAGTTAAGCAATGTGTCCTGCTACTTACAACTAATTTTTTTATATGTTTGTTACAAGTTAAGCAATCTGCCCTGCTATTCTACAACAGATTTTTTGTTTGTTTGTTATAGGTTTAGCAATCTGCCCTGCTACTTTACAACTGATTTTTTGTTTGTTACAGACTTAGCAATCTCTTCTGCTATTTTACAACTGATTTTGTTTTGTTTTTGTTTGTTATAGGTTTAGCAATCTGCCCTGCTATTTTACAACTGATTCTGTTACCAGTGTGTCCAGAATCACCCCGTTACCTCTTAATACAAAAACAATGGGAAGAAGAAGCAAGGAGAGGTAACATATGTTTTTCTTTAAATAATACGAGCTGTTGGCCCGTCCTACGTACGGGATTGAGAAGTCAACAAAAACTGAAATTATATTAATATTTCCATTTATAATCCAAGCAAAGTTCAAGCAGTTAACCATTTCCTGAAAACAAAAAGCTGCCAAGATGAACTGAAACATGTACACATTTTCCTATTCTTTCCTCAAAAAGTCGAACAGAAAAATAATTTGCATAGTTTTTCCTTTGAATACTGGGGGGTAGAGCCTCGTTTTGTATAAATCAGTCGTTATAGAATCTTGAATCTTACTTATTTTCTATATTCAATGCCAACATCACAGAATAATAAACTAACCTGTTAGTTTGAAAGACAACTTTTATATTCAACCAGCTGTTAGTTAAAACAAATTATATTGCACTAAAACAAACTTAAAATTTTAAAGATTGCTCTAAAAAATAAATTAGAATATCTATCATTAATCCATGAATATTTAAATAGTCTGTCATCCTCTTACCCATAAAATGGACGTACAATGAGCATAGCATTACACATAGTATGGATAAGTCAACCCTAAGCATGTAATTATTATCCAAATGCTGAATTAGTGACACAAAAGCTGAATGTTTACAGCTGTTATGTTAAGCAAATTATTTTATGCCAAAAGCTAGTTTAGAAACTTAGCGTCGGCTTCTAGACTTTTTAAAAATTAAAACTTAATTTTAAAAAAACTGGGACCCTAAACAAAAATTATGGCTTCGACATTCCCTAGTTCACAAAATTATCTTTCTTTCAACACAAAAATGATGAAAATCCGTCGAGTGGTTGATTCAGAATCGTGAAATAAAAAAAAACACTGTTTCGTTTTAATATTATAGATTTGTTTAATTAAAATCACTATATGTGACTTAAATAAATGTTGCAAAATCTTCTATTTTAATTATTCCCTAACCATTTTTATGAATGCTCATAGCACGTTGAACATTTAAACAAAGAAACAGAATCCTGGCGTAGACAAATCGATAGCATTTAAAATTTTTACAATGATATTACCTAATATGAATTCACCTAAGTAAAGAGTTTGAGTTATTTCATCATACATGAAAAGTTCCTGACAGACATAACACTAGCACTAGACATTTCATTTCTCTAGGGGGCTCCTTCAGAAGATTATAGTAGAATCACATAAAAACGTTGAGTAGCCTAAATCAAAGAAACTTGCTTGCTTAATTATTTTGACCAAAAGAGACCAAAAAAGAGATGTCGCGGGGACTGCAAGTAACGCTGACGGGTGTTGCCGCAGTTGCAGGAGACGATTACCCATGTCGCGGAGACTTAAAGTTATGCTCACGGCTGTTGCCGCAGTCACGGGAGACGATTACTGAAGTCGCGGAAACTGCAAGTTACGCTCACAGGTGTTTTCGCGGAAGACGATTACCGATGTCGTGGAGACTGTAGGTTATGCTCCTCTCAATATCCGACCATGGCCGGATATGAGGGTTTCTACTGTAGTTTCTTTCTTTAGGGGTACTTTATCAAACTGTTTTTGCTTCAGTTCAGCCGATACTGTATGATTTACTCTTCGATGATATTTTAAAATCACCTGCAATGGCCAAATTATTAAAACTCTGCTGATCGTGGCTATTTGTGTAGCGTTAAGAAGACTAAGAGCGTCGAACAACGTGGAAGAAGACATCGAAGAGATGCGAGCAGAGCAGCGAGCGCAACAGTCGGAGTCCACCATCTCCATGATGGAGTTGATCTGTTCTCCGACACTGCGATCTCCGCTGATCATTAGCATCGTGATGCAGCTCAGTCAACAACTTTCTGGCATCAATGCTGTGAGTATCAACTGAATGACAAAACATCAAACCCAAGCTGAAAGAGGTTGTCTATTTTTCTAATTGTTCAGGATACAGAAATTAACTCGGTAATCATCGACATTATTCTTCTTGTTCCTTCTGTCTTTTTTTTTTACTTCCTGTTCATTCTTTCATTTATTCAACAGATGAATTTTTACATCTCAGGGGCTCTTTTTCCCCAATCTGGGTTTTCAGATTTTCTGGTGCTGCTTATTTGTCATTTTTAGATCCGATTTTTCCTTTTCCTGCAGCACCTTCTTTACTTTCTCGAGCCCCTACCAGAAGCCGCCTCTGGTGAATGTTGGGGATGGAGTAGCCTTTGGAAAGCTATTGGCTGAAATACCAGAGGCAACGGCATTCTGACACCACTAGCAGGGCCGGATTTACCATTTTGGCCCCCCTAGGCCCAAATAATTTTCCGCCCCCTAGTCTGGTCACAGTTACTTTCCTTCAAACCTTTATTAAAAACTATATAATGCCTATAGGCCTATGGTAATTGCTTGAGTACCACTCAAATTGAATTTTATCATTGCAAGTTTTTTGAAGAATTTACTTGTTTAGATTTAACAAAATGTTGTCTTAAAAAAAAGTACTTTAAGCAATTTTATAGTTTTAGTAAATATTCACGTTTGTGTAACTGAGACTGAAACAAAACAACTCAATCCACAGAGCATTCCTGCAAAAACAAAACATGGCCATTGATTCCAATTTCAGGCCCCTACTTGAGTTATGTTAAATCTATAATGGTGGACGGTGGTACTGCATCTAGATTATATTTGCAAAGCAAAACAAAGCAATATGCCGGCCATCCACACCGATCTGTCATATAAAACCTACCGTATTGGCCTAAAATCATGTTTAATCTGTTTTTTTTAAACCTTCTTAAAACCAGGTTACAAAAGTAATACACTCCACTAACACCAAAAGTTTCATCTTAGACATGTCACAAAAGGATTGGCAAGTACAAAATGTAAAACAATTAAGAGTTTAACTTGGTAAAATGTTTCAAATAATTAGTCTATACTCGCAATATTAATCTTTTATTTTCAAACAATTTTTACATGTAAAAGTTATTATTTACTAAAATACTTTCTATACACATAGTTTTTTTTTTTGTTCCAGGTGTTCTATTATTCTACAAATTTGTTTATAAGTTCGGGTCTGACTGAGGAGACGTCAAAGTTCATGACCATAGGTATAGGTGCGATAATGGTGGCGATGACTTTAGTGATAATGCCTTTAATGGATCGAATGGGAAGACGAACTCTGCATCTGTACGGACTCGGAGGCATGTTCATAACCTCCATCTTCATAACAATCTCCTTCTTGATAAAGGTGGGTCCGATAAGGTGTATTATACTTTAGTTACCGGTATCTTAGCAAAAATTGGGTCTGAAAGCAAATATCACTCAAGTTGTAATATAAAAGTGGATGGGATAGCAAATATCAATCATTTAGTTCTAGTTGTTATTCTTTTATATAATAAAGGTGAGTATGGATATTAAGTAGTTTAAATACCGGTACCTGTTCAACTACAATATCAGTAATACAATACGGTTGTGGTACATTCTTGTAATCCATAGTCCGATAATGGAAGTATTTTATTCACATTACAGTTAATCCCAGTAATCAAGATGAGACAATCCAATTTTGAAATGGAACAAATATCACTATTTGTAAGGGTTTGAAAGAAAATCTTACTCTTTAAGTTGTTCAGTTATATTGATACAGTGTGGGTTTGTAAGCAAAAAATCTCTAGTTGATCGATAAATGTGAGTTTGATAGAAAATGTCACTATCTAGTTTAAAGAGAATGGTGGGTCTGATAGTAAATATCCTTTGGGTTGAGCAATAAAGTTGTATCTGATATCCACAATTGTATGATTAAGGTGGGATAGCAAATATAACTCATGTGACAAAGGTGAACATGATGACAAATATCACTGTAGCTGTGTAGTAAAAGTGGAAATTATAGCAAATATCAGTTCCTTAAGGTTTACACTAGCGGTACACTTATCACCAATAATTTTCATTATTTTCAAGCCATAAAGAAATTAATTTTAAGTGAGATATAATTGTTACTTTACTACTGATGTCATCTTACCACTGTAAAAGAAATTATTAACAAGGCATTTTACAAGTTAGGTGACCTTACTCTACAAATAAAGCTAGTAAAAGTCTGCTAGTCTTTAACAAAAATTAAAAACGGCTTGAACTCACAGTTTAAAGAAACAAAAAATGCCCTTGCATGTGAACGAAGACATCCCATCTATATGGATCAGCTGTTGCAGTTTTTTACTAAAAACGAATGTAGTTGTGTGAGCCAGTCACAGATTGCTCTAGTGTCTAAAACTCTATATTTTTTGTTACTGACATAGTTGCTGGGTCTTAACAGTTGCTATAGCTCATAATAAGTTATTCCATCAGTTTGACTTGGTAAAAACCATCGTGTAATCGGCAGAAATCAGTAATTTATATCAGCGCAATCTGTAGGTGGCTCACATCAAGTAAGACAAATTTGAATAAAAAGCTGGCGACAACTTTAACATGGGATGGAATGTCTAGTTGTTGTATTAATAGTCAAAGATGTGAACCAAGCTGTTAAAGATTTTTTGCAGCTTCGATAAACAGGAAAGTTTCTAACCAATTTTTTGTCATTTATATAGTAATATTAGTATTAGTATTAGTAGAATATTAGTACTTCACATGCATCTTTTTAGGAACCGATTGACCATTATTTTGCTCTCAAACCTACCCCGCAAAATCCCTAATAATCAGTTAAAGCTTAAAGAATCACATATCACAGAGCTTGAGAGCTCGGCTCCGTGAATCACCGCTTGCACAGTTGATTTCCGGAGTGTAGCTCCGTTTGTCACCGATATGTTTTTATAAATTTATAAAGTAAGAGTATTTATTGATTTCAGGCATCTATACGTTGAGCTACATACCAAAGGATAAAATCTTTATTTTATATGAGCAATCATGGCTTTAACCATAAATGCAGGATACAAAGCCACATATTAAAAAAATTATTTTTGCCTTAGTTGATAATAATATAGATGTTAGAATTATAGTTAGGTTATGTAAGTTTATTTTTATTTGCTGGTTTATAATTCTATAATTGCTTATCCAAGAAAGTTTTAATATTTCAAGATTTTTTCTCATTGTGTGAAAAACATTTTCAATTACTCATGTATACTTTGGTTTAACATGAAATGTGTATAGCCTGTTAAAAAAACTTAATGTTGTCTTCAAGTAAACATTTCCTAATGATCAGTGCATTTTTAATCAACACAGAACTTAATTTATTACGCTCTTAGTATAATTTTTAGATGCACACCTATTTAAAAAAAGGATTTATTTAAAAAACTCTCTTATTTTAACAACTTTTTAACATATTATTTTAAAATAGTTTTAAAAAGCAAACTTAGTTTTTTTTTCAACAATTTAGTTCTAGGCTCTAAAAAGACCATTGTGTGTTTTTCCACAAAAAAAGAAGTAGAAAAGAAACATAATAAATGTAATTTAAATTTTGTCTGTTTCATTTATACATCCAATGTACAAAACTTTGGATAAGCAATCAAATTCTTTTCAGTTGCTTCTTACCCTTTTTATTTTGCAACCCATAAGTCTTTCTAACACTGCAGGACGATGTATAGCCATGTTTCATTTTACTTTTCTTTCCGAAGGGTGTTTATCGCTGGCTATGCAAGTCCGAAGTCAGCTGTTGGATAGACGAGCACGGTTCTACTGTCTGATAGGAGTTTTTTGGTTATGTTCAGGAGATGATCGACTGGATGTCCTACCTGTCTGTTGTCTCGACGCTCAGTTTCGTGGTGTTCTTCGCCCTCGGTCCCGGCTCCATTCCGTGGATGATCACTGCCGAGTTGTTCTCCCAAGGTCCTCGACCCGCGGCAATGTCTATAGCAGTTCTTGTCAATTGGATGGCAAACTTCATTGTTGGAATCGGTTTCCCAACGATGAAGGTGAGTATTCAATATTGTGCGATTTTGTGTCAACACTTGGAATAGCAGGTTGTTTCATTTTCTATCTTTTAAGAATTGGATGAGAACGTTGAATATCATTATCTACTCTTTGTCTGTAAAAACAAAGATTTAGTAAAGGCTTACTCCTTTGCTAGGTGAGGGTGAGTTCTTTATCAGTTGCTCCTTAAATCAGGCAGTTTTGCTAATGTTGTGTGTCTGATGCTTACTGTTTGTGTGTTCCCTAGAGACTTGCTTGAAAACAGTTAAGATTTCACGTGTTTATAAAGAGAGGAACATCTAAGAAAACATTATAAAAAAACACTGTTAAATCACTGAATAATGGTATTCAAGGGATTAAGGATCAAAGCCATCACAGCACACAATCATCATAGCTGTGTTGACCAGTCATTTTTATGTCACTGTTTGAAGATCACTTTTATCTTTAAACTAGCAACCGGGTCCGTTATGGTTAAACACAACAGTTCTAGAAAAATAGTGGTAATATATATGCTTCCATCTACCAATGCAAATTGTAAACTACAAAATGTAAACAAAGAAAAAACAAGGAAATAACAATACAAAAATCAGCTGTTACATTATTAACACATGTTCTATATGATCAGATGATGCATACCATGGATGAAGCTTTCCATTGACTTAATTAATAAAGTTTATCTAGTAGAACTGTAGATTTAGTATAAAGTTTAACAAAAATATCTCTTATTCAGTATTCTCTCACCACTATAAATTTGAAGGTTACTTAGCTTTTTTGCAAATAACTTTTAAATGGTAAGGAAATTGACTTAAGTGGAAGGTGGTGTTCTGAAAGAGAATACAATTTTCTACAATTTGGTTCTAGGATCTCTTGAAAACATTCATTAAAGGCAAGCAAAAGTGGCCTCCAAATGAAAATGTGAAAGACCCTGTTTCCAATGTACTATGTAAATCATGTTTTTTTTTCACCATAAATCTGAACTTCATAATTATTTGTAAAACTACAGGGAGTGAGCTTTCCAATGACCAAAAAAATCATAAGAGTAGATGATTTTATAATCACTGTGCTGTTTACAACTGCATAAAGCTCCTTTCAAACTTCTTTGTTTCCGATTGAAAACAGTATAATTATACGACATCATGTCTATGTTTCTTTCTCATTACAGCGAGATAAATGTGTTTAAAAGTCACAATAATCATAAACAGTGTCCAATGGACAGGTCTGATTATAAACAATAAACATTGCAACAGCTGATCGTTTTGCACTGGCTGGTGGGATGCCGTTAGATTAAAAACGATGCAGTATGAAAGCTTGCATTTAAATACATGGACCACTGACACACAGCCACGGTCTGACAACCGTCCGGTTCTGTGGCAGCGGACGGCTGTAAGACAGCACGGTTTTCTGTCGTCACTGTAACCGTATAGTTGGAAAGCTCTCGTGCTCTTCTTTACACTATAAAAATGTATTGACCGTCCGGCAAAAACCGGATAGCGTGAAAGGAGTGTTAAAGTTGAACTTGTTTGTTTACATCCACCAGCTGTAGGGTGACCTAAAACATTAACATTTAATATTTGACTAGTTTTCTTATTGTATTTGCATCAAGAGTGTGTATGAAATTCCTACAAACATTCAACAAACTAAACTATACATAGAGTTTGTTTCATTAGACATTGTGACATTGACAATTTTTTGTCAATGAGCTATGACAACCAATACACTATCTACAAAAATACACTATCTAATGTTTTGCAATCAATAATAATCTGTTACAGGCAAAAATTGAAATTTTTACATACACCTATAAATCTGTCAGTGACACAGTTACAAAAAGTATTACTGTCCGACCCTCTCGCTTTCCTGTCCTATGTTGTGTACACATTGTCACACATATGTGTTACCCTGATTTGTACTCTGTGTTTCAGAATTCACTGGAAAATTATACGTTCCTGCCATTTAGCGTGTTCCTTGCGATCTTCTGGATCTTCACTTACAAGAAAGTTCCAGAGACCAAAAATAAAACGTTCGAAGAAATCCTTGCACTGTTTCGACACAACAATGGAAGGTAAGTAGACCACTGAACAGGGATTAAGGGTTAATCATTTTGGAGCTATTTTGTAAGTATTTAAAAATATATTTTGACTGTTGCAAGGTAGCGGGTACTTATCGTGCATGTTTACAAATTAGATAACACATGCCCAACTCATAAACTCTGTTGCTAGTTAAAACAGGGTATTACTTGGTCATCATCATTTAAAATTTCAAACCCTAATTTTATTTTATTTTGTTGTTATTGAATACGATTTAAAGATTTACAGTAAAATTTGACTAGAGTGAATCTAAAAATAATTTTCCAAGATGGAAACTGCTTTTTCAATAAATTTGTCAGGTTATGCTGTAAACAAATTGTATTTTGTGAAAATCTCTAGTAATATTTTAAAACATATTCACCAGCCTTATTATTTTGACATTTACAAATTTGGAGTTGTATAGTTCATGCTTTGTTAGATACAATGAAATAAATCAAAATTACTTTTCAATATTGGTAAAAATACAATGTTTTGCCGTATTTTTAGTTAGGTACCTATATTAATAAAAAATAAAGTAAATAAGTAATTAAATTTATCCCTAAATAAGTTTTATGTGTTTTTCAATTTAACTTGTTCAACATGTTTATCAACATCAAAATATTTAGATTTACCAACTATTTTTAGACTTATGCGTTATTTTAATGACAAATTTGTTTTAAATCAGAAATAATGTTATAACAATGTATAAATCCATTTTTCAAACATTTTGGCCAACTTTCTTGCTAGAAGTAAACTAAAATTATTTCTTAAGAAACTAACCTACACATGTACCACAGTTGGATCATATTATGATTGAGACCGCCACAGAATGATCATATTGCAGACTAGTTTCATAATATGCATTACTCCTGCTGTACGCTTACCAGTAGTGTAGACTCATGCAGCTTTGTATTAACTAGGGGCAGTCTTCGTGACAGTAGACTATATGGGTAAGTTTCTGCGCCCATGATGCATGCTTGTTTGCATGGAAAAAGTTAATAATCTCCTTACCTACCTAAGAACGGTCCTTAGGTTGAATAAAATAGTAAAACTTGCAATTATTTTTTTATTTTGGCTACAAAATGACACTGGAAATAAATTTGGACATTTAGCTGTCTTTTTACAACGTGTAATTAAACAGTATTTAATAATCCAAGATTTATTTTAAATTTTTTAAACAGATGTTTCAATAAGCATTTAAGTATTTCACTACAGCAGTATTAATGGTGTGGTAATATCATAACTTTAATTATTTGTTGAATCTTCTCTGAGAGAAATTACTGTATTGACACTTTTATGAACCATTGTTTCTACATTCCTATAGGGAATTCATTTCAGGGGGCAATTTGATTATAATATTTATGTTTGTAAAACCTAACTAATAAAGTAAATATAATTACTAAAATATTTTGTAAAATTATTTTTCTCTAAAATTATTAAAACTGTTGGTTGATTTCAATGTCAATATACTACAAACATTTTGGTTAAGTACTTTTATACTGTTCTGAGAATGTTATTTCAAATGTGTAACTTCAAAAAACTGTTAAATACCTTAAATATTTCAGTTTTGTTTTTGTAAAATGTTTCTAAATAATTGCACACAATACTAAACCCTCACTTTCTCCAAGTAGATAATAGCATAGACTAACCAACACAAGTAGACTTCTCATCCCATTGTAAATTTTGAAGCTCGTTTTTCATGTCTAGTTCATGTACGCCACACTGGGCGCTAGTGTCGACGAAATTTTGTTTCTATTATTTTAGGGTTAATTTCTTGATTTGTGCTTTACTGTTTGGTTATATAACTAGGGGACAAGTTATTGTTTATGATTAGATCGTATTATTTGGTTAAACGAGGTTTTAAATGGCTGTAATAACGGGAAACAAATTGTAAACAAAACACGACATCTGCAGAAAACCGTACAGAACTAACAATAAAATTGTCTTCAGCTGTTCCATAAGGATGAGAAATCTACTAAGGGAGTATGTTTTATCTATGATAATAGTCTACAAACACAGCCAGCTTATCAGCACTGCTAATTGCTTGAAAAGTATGATACACTATTTGGAATGGGAAGTTGATGTTTGAGTACAAACAATTTGACAGTTTAGATTTTCTTTGCATGGTACTGTTTTATTTATTATTTGGAAAATTTGTTTTAATAAAGTTTAAAGAATGCAAAAAATGAGTATATTAAAATCCCGTTGAACAATTCTTTCTTATTTGTTTCCTATCACAGTTAACAGTCGTTGTTGTAATGTAATTTAAATATTTAAAATATCCCAGTTATTGTTAAATTCCATAAATGCTTGCTTTATATTTGTGGGTCTATATTGTACATTGTATTTATATTCTAATAGGGGTTTATTTTTATTCCGATTTAATAATGTTTTACAAAGTGTCATTGTCAGTTGTAAATTTATTTGGTCTTGGTATTATTTTTTTTATGAGTATTACACCATTTACTATCACATATTACAATATTGGTGTAAATGATACTGTGTGTAGTTAATTTTCACCAAAACCTTTACTGGTAGTTTTCTTTTCAAATAATAAATACCAATTTGATAGTAGGGTTATAACGTTATTTGTTTTGTATATTTATAAACCCGACACACTATGTCCAAGTATACATTTTATTCAACATTTAAAAATATTATTTTTACTGTTTTGGAAATTTGTCGTAAATAATGCATTTAGCATCAGTGTGAATCAATTTTAATTTTTCCCTCATAGTCCCTAACTGACACTTTGTGAATTTTTATCATAATTATCTAGTCTATTTTGAAACGTTAAGTTACGTAAACACATTTTTTGGTAGGTGTGAGCATACAGCTAAGGCTGACCTAACCTAACGTAATGTAACGTATGCATGGGAGACGTTGCCGTTGCGTTATGACAGACTCCAGGCCAGCGTCTGATTCAGTCAGTGTTGTTGTATTTCAGTGTTGACCCAAAGACGCCCGATGAGAAACCGAAGCTCAAGCTAAGTCACTTGTCACGAGTTAACTCGTTCTCGCAACAAGTTCTTAAAACGTAACCTAACCGCCGCTTCCAGCACTAGAGCTTGTTTTAGGTTGTTGACTTTACATATTTGGTTACCACAACTGCAAAGTGATTGATATTGGTTGTTTATTGTTGTATACGATTTTTATTGATTAAATGATAAAAAATGTTCTTTAAAGTAGGGTTTTAATAACACTCTACGTTGTAACGTCAAGTATTATTTCTAAAGTTTATTTTTATTTGTTTTGTTAGTTTTTAAATCAAAGTGTTTTAATATAAACTTTTTTGTATTTCTAATCTCAAAACCTTAACATGCACGAGTATTTAAAATGTAGGTTATATTTATTTATTTTGTTATGTTTTTTCTCGCTAAAGTAATGAAATTGACTTTGCACACACTTTGATTTGATAGAATCAAGTCCTAGATTTAAAAAATAACCAGGAACTTAATATTTTTAGATTTCAGATTTTAAATAGGCATTTTGCAAAACAGAATGTTTTATTGATAGTAAATTTTTGCCATTACTGGCTGCAAGGTTAATACAAAAATAATCTAAAAAGGTAATTACAGTACAAAAAGTTGGCCCACTTTATTTCAAATATCAATTAAAGCTCTAGAAATAATGAAAGAAAAAATAAGTTAGAATTGCTTGATTTGTCTCACAGTTGGTAAATAAAAAACTCTTTGCCCTGAAATAATATAAAAAATAATATTGAATGACTTCCCCCACTCTTGGAAAGCTAAACTAACATAGATTACAATATTCAATATAGTTTAACATTCATATCTTATAAAGCTTGTCGATAAAAAGTTTCTAGAATTTTAAAAAGGACATTTTATTACTAAATACCGTAACCATTTATGTATTATTTTTATTCATAAAACCATTTATGAACTATGTTTTACATTACTTAATAAAAAGTTAATTGCTGTGATTTTAAAGATAATAAGTTTGAAATTTTGTATATAATGTTTGACACTGGAGTAACCAAATGTGTAAACTTACAGAGGTATTATATTTTTTTTATAACTATATTATAAATATAAAGTATTGCTATTTTAAATATATTTTTAATCCGATATATGTTTTAATTGAGTTATATTTTTTATAGTTCTTATATTTTTTATTTCTCTTTGTTTTAGGGGTTCTGGGAGAAAATATGTAGAGTAAGAAATATTTATTTCAGACTCTAATTGCAGTTTTGAAATGGAAAGAAGTTTTATGAAAATATCTTAAATTATTGTTAAGCAATATACAATTAATTAAAACTATAAGACACCGTTGACACAAAAATATTTTTTTTCAAATGCTTTAATTAATATTATTTCAAAACCAAGTAAAGTAATTGACGGGTAATAACAAATGTATAATTGCTAAGATTTATTAGAAACATGTATTTGAAGTAATCTTTATATTTACAACTAAATTAAACATTGTATGAAAAAAATTATTTTCATGTTAAATATTACTTCTGAAATACTCCTGTATATATGATGATAAGACTTGATTATTTCTTAATTAATTGTCGTTTATTAGCATTTCTTTATTTTAGTTGCCCAGTACAAAATAATCTTTTATATTCCACCAATAAATTCACACAAGCTTCATAATTAATTAATAAGATTTAGAGTTAAATGATAAATATCAATGTGTTTTATAACATAATAACATATATTATTATGTTATTTTACAAAATATTTTTAATTGATAACTTATAAAATTTTCAAAATTAAATTTTTTATTTTAAAATTGCAAATGATAAAATCTTTAATGATCTTTTGTCAATAACTAGTGATAATTATTTTTAGTTATAAGTATATTTTTTGCGAATTTTAATTATTTATTTTATTTTTAGTTAATATTACGAATTGTTAAGTTAAAACCTGTAAATATATTTTTTTGTTTTATTTTGAGTTTATTTATTTTTCCTTTACTACTCACCTATTTTCTATAATCCATTTACTTTCCCAAGTCTCTTTTTTTTTATTCGTTTTTATATTGTTTAGTATCCAATACTACAAATAGACTTAAAAACCTTTTACTAGAGGAACTAAACTGTCCTGATTTAATTCAGTTGTTATTTCAAACCCCAAGCTTAAGGGGTAGTAAATAAATTACATATTTATATCACAAATTATATTCAAAGTTAGTCTTTTGCATATATTTGCTACTTCTATTCAATTGGCAATATGGATTAAATTAATAGTATCCTCATTGTTATAATGTCAAATAATTAAATATCTAGAGGGTTAAATAGTAAGACATACAATAGCAACTACTACGGATTGTGTGAACTGAGTAATAAAAATCTTTTTAAATGGTATTTTATATTTAGAAGATTTGATTAAGGTTTATGGAGAAATAATTTGTTGTAGATGATTTCAAAAAAAAAAAAATTTCTAACCATGAACTTGGAAGCTGTTTTTATATTAAAATAATTTCACTCACTTTGTCTTTGGTGAATCCTAATTTGTACTCAAAACACATTAAAATTATAATACATATTTTTATATGAAATTTTTAGGATATAATATCATTCAAAGAATCTTAAAAATCAAGTGTTTTCTACTGTATAGATCTGCTGTGAAACAGATTTTTCATTGACTTTGCTTTCTAATTCATACTAGGAAAAATGTTGCTAAATCTTGTTCAACAAAAACAAGTACAAATTAAACTAAATTTTTTTATTGTCAGCGCGAACTAAGGATTAAATATGCTGGCATATCTGCACAAATACAATATTATGGATAGAATAACATTCAATATCCTGTAATAAAGGACCAAATATATCATGACAAACTCAATGAATGAGGAATCGTAGGCTACTTCAGTCATCTGAAATAAAAACCCCTAATTAAATATATTTTTTTCTGTTTACAGATCTAAGTTCCATTATCTTTATTGGTCTTTGTTTTCTTTTGTTGCAAAACATTGTGTAGCAATGTGTATGCTGATAAAAGATTACCGTAAAAAGATTCTAATGATAAATAACTGATCCAAACCAGGTATGCTGAATCTTTTCCAGGAGCATGATAAACTGTGTGAATACGTTAGAGCAACGAATGCCCTCATCTGAGCAGGCCTCGCTCATGGTAGCGGAGGAAAGACCGCTCCCGGACCAATGTAAGCCTTTACGATATTACTGTAAAGATATTGCCAAACGTGTTCGCGCCTGCCACACCTTTGGCAATAGCTGTATTGACCCTTAATGCAACAGTCCGTCGAGATTTTAGAATAAATTTGACTGGGATTATTAAAGTGGGCGAAAGCAAAAAATCAAAAATCATGTAAGCATCTGGATTAAAATTTGTTTTTGGTTATTGAAATATCAGTGATATTTGGCATGTTGTTTTATTTTTTAACTCTTTCCAAACCAAATGTTTGTCCAAATTTCATATCAAAGCAGGAATAGCTATTTGAGTATTAAGAGCGCAAAGTACGTTCATTGCTGCTTGAGGAGACCGGCAAAGATTGTTTGGGCTTGTAATACTGTACACACAAGATTTTTCCTACCTCCATAATTAACTTATCATAACACACAGATTAACTTTTTAGTCGTCTATAAAATGTAATTTGGGTGTTTTGATTTTTTAGGATGTTAGTGTGTTATAGAAACGCGGGAAGTAAACCAAGCGGGAATGACTAAAGCGGTAATGAGCTATTTAGCATACCGTACTGTTGTGTGGCAATGTGGTAATTTCCATCATGAAGTGGTAGGAAAAAGAGCATTACTTTTTAGCCATTCTACACAAGCACCAAATATTGGGAAGATGAGTTAAAATTTATCACAACAAATTATTTAATATCGCACAGCTGTGTGGAAATAGATGAAAATATTTTGCAAGTTTTGTCGATTAACAAGTATTATCAAAACACATGGGAGTTTCAAATAATGGCAGCTAAACACTCTTAGTAACTCTAAAAAAATGTTAATAATAACGCTCATTTAGTAGTGATTTAATAGTTGTTCTCTACCCAATAATAGTTCTTACTTCATGTGATTGGAAACTATTTTCCTTGTTTCCTTTAAATCTAGACTATTGAAAGTCGTAATAGAGTATTATTAGAGAATTGATCTTGGGTAGTTTTTAAAAGGAATATATTTTGATGTACAAAAATAATTCAGTTATTACAAACAATTGCTCAAATTTGCTTAAGAGTTATATTTGTTCAGTTTACAGTTAAACTAGTCAATAGAAATTCAGTTTACTTCTTTTTATAATAGAGTTTTTAGGAATATTATGGAATTTCTTCCAGAAACGGAAGGTATGATCTCAAAATAATTTAATTTAAAAAAACTTCTAAATGATTACGGATACTCTAAATAATTACTAATAATTACAATAACAGCTACTAATAATAATTACAATAAAATCTTTTGAACAGCTAAATTAATTATACTGTGTTTTCCTGGACTTAGCAAACGACCCTATTCTAGTTAAACATCATCATAGGACAATTTTTATGGACAGTATAAATAATACCGTAAAATCAATCGTTTTGTTGGAATTTTTAGAACATACGAAGAGACAAGTGTATAAACACCAGAAATGGTGTTTTATTTATTTTACCTTTGTGATTGAGAGAATGAACATTTGACTTCTTAGCAGAATCTAACACTGATTTACTATTATTTAAGAGATTATTTCAAAAACTCTCGATCACGGTAAAAAAACAAGTTTTCACAAAGTTTCTGTATTTGAAATATAACCCTTAAGATATTCTTTGGAGAGAAAACATCTTAAACATAACAACAATTGTTTACACACAAACCCAGTAAAATCTGGAAAATTACCGATTAAAATCACACAAGTAGAGAAAAGTACAGAAGTCAAAACAAGAAACAAAATGTACCAAATAAAACCCACAACTGGTACTGTAAGAATAGAGGGTAGACAAACACAACGGACAATGGGGACACGGCTGCACCAAATGGTGGCTTAACCAAGCCAGTCAAGGAAAAAATTGAAGTCGTTGACTTTTGGTAAAATAGGAAAATTTATGTATACTAATTGTTTAGTGTGATGGAATATTTGGAAATGTGTACATTTCAAAATACATGAGATATTTTTGTTTGGGCATTTTTTGTGATAAAAACATCAAATTGAAGAAAACATCCTAGATCACTGAAGCCTTGATTTTGCTTTTTTTACTATTCAAGGTTTTATGTGCCACATTTGGTTTTTTGGGAAGACTTTATTAATTCTCTCCAGGAGTAGGAATACTTCTCGTTCAACAACCTTATCAGTCGTAACACACTGTAAATTTCACCAAATTTTAAATTTAAAAAATTAATAATTTATTGAAAATGATTTTTAATCAGACGGACTGTTGCCATGATTAGTAGTGATGGTGTTTCAGCGCGTGCTGAAGACGGAGACATTTCTTCAGCAGTTATCTGATTAGGTTTAGAGTTTATTGATGTGTAAAGTGTGAAATTAACTCTCACTTTTTTCTCTATAACACTTCTACTTGTTGGCAAACTTTATTTTCTGATCCAAAAAAATACTTTCAGTTTTAAAACTGCACCGGTACTTAATAAAATAATAATAACTCAGTTTCCGAATTTTCCGATACAAACATGTTTTATTCCAAGTCTTGTTTGATATGATAATTTGAATGGCAAAAAATGTTTTATTTTAATATAATTGGTATGTAAGTAACGTAATTAGAGCTAGTTTTGAAACCATTACTTCAATAAAACAATCCAATTATTTGCAACTGCAATTAGGCATGATCGAACTAAATCACATTTATTTTTAATGAATATGTGTAGTTTTTGGAAATGTTTTGGAATTCTAATTCCATTACTTGTGATTACTGTAAATCGGATCTACATCCAAAAGAGAACAAAAAAATCAATTGTTATACATCATTACAACAAAATGCCCAGTCGCAAAACTACAAATATTTTAAATTTTGGTTTTTATTTTTAACTAAAAGTTCTTGTACTGTAACTAAAATAACTGATGTGATCTTTAATATAGCTTAACCATCAGTGACATAATTTTGTGTAATTCATTGGATTATGCTTAACTTTGCATTTTTATGTACAACACTCAATATAGAAAAAAATAAAATTGTTTACAAAATCAAAAGGGATATTTAGGTAACCTGTGCATGAAGTTTTTAAACAAAATTTTTTTAACCCGAGTGCATTTTTCTGCACAGATTGTGAGATTACACATGCAGCTATTTTTGTAGTTATGGTATCATAGGCAAATGCTTGTATATCGCTTGACAGCTGGTTAAGAAACGCTTTTGTGAAATGCACGATAATAGATAAATATCGCATTGTTATTCAGTTGATTATTTGTTAAGATTCTAATCCAAGAAACTGTTGGTAAACTGATTTTACTGTGACAGTGTCGAATACGTTTGAGAGATGGTCACTGATAGGCAGTTCTGGTAAATACAATCCGAGGAGACATTCCGCTTATGCGTCTCTACCCTCAGGTATTCCTATGTCAACGTAAAGCACTCCGTCACTGTTCAAAGTATAGAGGCACTACAACTGTAGAGGCACTATGACACTATTCAAAATATAGAGGCACTACACCACGGACCAAAACTATAGAAGCACTTTTCATTGTAAATCTGTAGAAGAACTTGGACATTGAACTACTTAAGAGCACTGCCACACTGATCAGACTATGCAATCAATACAATACCTACTGATTGTGTGGTAGAGGCACTGCTATACTGATAACACTATATGAGCTTTACAACTTTTTTCAAGCTATAGAAGCACTCTAACATTGTTTTAAATGTAGAAGTAATACAAACTGTTTGAACATCACACTACAACACTATTTAGACAACTCGAGAACTAAACTCATAAAAAATTAGAAGCACTCTAAGAAAGATTAAACTGTAGAAGCAATATAAACTTTTTAAAGTGTAGACACCCTAAAGCCCCGTTCACACGGGGCGAGTTTACAAGCTACACGCTAGCGTCTAAGAAGCTGGCGAGTGCACTTATAATCGTTCATACGATGCCTTTTCCACTCGCTCAGTAGTTGACTTCTGACCAGGTTTCAATTGTGAAATCTTGCTGGTTGTGTTGGTGTTTGCGTACATTTAAAATTAAATGGTCTATGGGAAACGTATTGGTGTTCCTAAACGTGTAGGTACCAAAATTACCCAGCCTTGTGGAACATCAAACACAAAGACTATGCCAATAAACCGTTGAGGGATACGTTTTTTAAACAGCTGAGGATTGGAGAAAAATAATAGAACATGGATGAAAAACGCCTGAAATCCAAAATAAAGTAATATTTTTGATGCACCATAATCTGTACATCTTCCTACCCACTGTATTACCCACACTTTCCTCCTTTTCTGTTTCTCATCTCGCCGTCCAATTAATTAATTTAAATTACTTTTGCTACAACTACAACTCCCGCTAGAACCAAACTCCTCCGACATATTCAAATAATATAAACAAACACAAGCATAAGCAACTGTGTTCACACTGGGCTACATACATGCTAGATCGTTCAAAAGCTAGCGAGTAAGCGTGTAGAGTAGCCACAGAGTCAACTTTTTCCAGAGCTGTTTTAGAAGCAGCTTCTGAGCGAGTACTTCTTTCACACTAAGCTATTTTACGAGCTGCGTTTAAAAAAGCTGGCGTGTAGCTTGTAAACTCGCCCCGTGTGAACGGGGCTTAAGACACTGTTCAGGCAACAGGGGAATTATGACGTTTAAACTATAGAATCACTCTAAGAAAGATTAAACTGAAGAAGCAATATAAACTTTTTAAACTGTTGACACCCTAAGACACTCAGGCAACAGGATAAGTATGATACTGATCAAACTTTAGAATTATTGTGAACACTGTTCATACTGTTTTTAAATTACATACTTTTGGCAAGGTATTATTCAATGGTGCTATTTAATGGGCTTCATATACTTTTTTTGTCTAGCGATATCCAGGGCTCATCAACTACAATAATAACACACATACACACAATCCTACTGTAAAATCACGTCCAATGTTTCACAGAACATGAAAATCTTCCCGCTTCCTCAAGATTGGAAAACTTATTTTTTCCCTAGCTGCTAGTGAAACGCCTAACATCAACTATCGGATCAGTTGAACTTGGAGGTAACGAAGAGATAATCAGCCAGGGATGTGAAAGGCTTGTCTACAATAAACACTACACCAAGGCCCACCCCAACTTTCTTAAAGTTCAACTGACCCAGCAGTCATAGTCAAGAGTTCATCCCGCTTGCGGGACAAAAAAAAGTTCCCCAACCTTTAAGTTTGATGCAGGACGTTTTATGTGTTCCACTAAACTTTGGACTTGATTTTCCACAGTGATTGTGTGTAATATGTACATCTGTGTTCACTGAAGCTAACAAGTCCTGGATATTGCCAGACAAAAATAAAGGAAGGTGAAGCCTTTTTTTTGGTTGTGTCTGCGCCAGTGGCATTTTAATAATTGAGTCAATTTAAACAATTGAACCCTTTTAGGGGATTGCGGTCATCACTGATCACAGTACGTAATCAATACAATACACTGTTTTTTTATACTATATACTTTACTTTACTTTTCGATGAAATGGCGACCATACAAAGTAGGTATTTTAAGGTATTTTATTATAGGCACTATAGTACTGATATAATTAATTATATAAGTACTACGAGATTGATCAAACTATATAAGCACTATGACACAGATCAAACTGTAGAAGAGCTATAATACAGTTCAGATTATACAAGCGATACAACAAACACTGACTAAACTATAGAAGAACTACAACACTGATCAAAATGTAACAGAACTAATTCTGATCAAATTATATAAGCGCTACAACACTGATCAAAATATAGAAGCACTATGACACAGATAAAACTGTAGAAGAACTACAATACTGTTCAGATTATACAAGCGATACAACACTGACCAAACTATAGAAAGAAGAAATACAACACTGATCAAAATGTAAAAGAACTAATTCTGGTCAAATTATATAAGTGCTCGACACTGATCAAAATTTGAGAACTACTATAATACTGTTTAAATTTTAGAAGCATTCTGACACTGATCAACTATAAAAGTACTAAAGACACCAATCAAACTTTACAAGCACTAAGAATACAACACAGTTAAAATATAGAATCACTATGACACTGATGAGCCAAACGAGATTGATAAAAATAAATATAGAAGCACTTGCTTTCACACGATATAGTGGGTGCACCCACACTTTGTACAACAAAATTTAATTAAAATTAAAATATAAATTCACTTAACACAACTCTACAAAATATGCTTCAGTAAAAGAGAGCGTTTGAGCATATATTTTGGATACGTTTTACTCACATTTTATATTACAATTAGTTATTAAATATTTTTCTCAGCTTTATATTTACTACACCCACTTTGCCTCATGGTCTTCAATTCAATAACCTGTATTAATAACAAAAATTCTTTATAGATTTTAGCCTGTTATAAAGTAGAATTGTCTGCTACTTACACTATTTTATATAATAATTATGGCAAATAAACTAGATGCAGAGGTTTTCCTCTGTTGATTAATTTCATATCAACTTATTACACTGTTCATTTTCAATGGTGATCAATCTTGGTTTATATGGTACTGTATATACAAATCTAAATAAAGATAATACCTCGGCTTTTGTTTACTTCAATTCAATGTATAACATACTTTCAAATGAATATTTATTTCAATTATCCAAATTAAATATAGATTATTGGCAATTAAATGTTTTAAATACATTAATTTACCACCCTAACAAAAATAATAATGGTTACCTCCTCTATCTTTGTCGAGTGCATAAGTAATTTTCTTCTTACTTACTCAAACCTTCTATGAATATCATTGTATGTGAACACCAGCTTTAAAATGAGTAGTTTTGCTTGTCCGATCATCTTTTGAAAAGATAGCTGATGGCAAGGCTCTATTTTATCTCTGGCTTTCACAGTGTGTATTGTTCCTGTGAGGTTCTATTGATGTTAGTCTGTAGATGATTGATTGTAGGGTTGAGTCTAGCAGGTGTCAGCAAGTTCCGGGTGAGGACATGTTTTCAGTGTTGGTCTTGTTGTTGCAGCTGCTTCCGATCGTTGCTGTCGAGATCTGGCACAGCCGATTCGTCCCCCTCCCCCCCTCCCACCACCGCGATTCCCGAACAGCGGCGTCTGACACCGGGAAAATCTTAACGGCGATATGTGCGCGACCGCGCCTAAACTCGGCCTACTCGGCTTTATACACAAGAGCGGTAAAGCGTGGGTTCTGTATCTCCGTCGCCACTAAACCTCCCATGTGTACGTTAGGTGCGCTAGGTCCTTATCTGTAAATTGCTCACTCCGCGACGATAGTGTGTGATCCAGATACTATATAGAGAATATTTTAATATAAGTGTTATCGAGGCACGGTGTATATATGGACACTACCTGGTTGCAGCACGGAGGGGGAGGGGGAGTGTTGTGTTCGAGCTCGATGGCGGTTCCCTCACGAGTCGCCCAGTGAACCGACACCCCCAGTGCCGCCGCCTCGTCTCACCTACTGAACTCCCACCTCACTCGTGATGGCTGCTTGTACCTGTAGGTTATGTCTTGCTGGCAAAGGCAAGCGTGCAACATGTGTTTTTCTACAGTTATACAATTGAATGCATTTATATGATGGCATTGAGTAAGACTTACTCAGCTACATAATCTTGTCTAAGTTTGATTTTTGAAATGAAATACAAACAATCCATTTACACAATTTTTATAAGTTAAACCTGTAACCAAATTATTCGTGATATAAATATTGAGCTTTCAAATTTGTCAAACATTCAGCTAATAACCAAACAGGTAAATATTACATCACACATTTCTAATTTTGGATACTTTTGGATTTAAAAACTCACAAACAAAAATTAAAATGTTCACCATGAATTAAATTTGTAATTAATCATGTACGATTATATTTGAAATTTCATACCTCCAATAATGGGTTTCTTGACGAGACTCGGCCTGCATCTTGACTCTCATGGTTGAAGGACAACTTGTAGGGAATGGGGAAGATGTTAAATCTCCTCCACCCTAAGAAAAATAAACCGTACAGCATAGATTGCACAAAGAGTAAGGGATTATTCAATAACAAACACAGGGCTACTCTTCCTAGCTATTTGGTAACTGTCACAGACTACAGAACTTTTTTTAAAGATTCAACCAGAAAAAAAGAGATAAAATTATAATTTGTCAAATATAAAAATGTTTATTTCTTTCATAGACCTTTCATCATTTACATGTATTTTTGACTGGGGAGAATAATTGGACTTATCAGAAGTCAAGTTTTTGGTATAACTTTTTCATAAGAATCTTACCATTAATGAAATATTCTAGGGATAATTAAACATGGCAAAGAACACTTTAATGGTTGTTTGGTTTGACAAAAAATGTTATCGCAACTATTAAAATAAAGTAATGTTTGACAACACTGCCTATGACGATTTGTTAAAAAATAAACCCAATTAAGGAAAGACATGCTTAGCAATGTTACCAAATTCGAAGAGAACAAATTTTAAAAAATAATTAAAAGGTAATGTATTGTAGTTTTAAAAAACCTATACACTCATAAAAATGTTACAAACCTATGAAATTTAATATGAGAAATTTTCAATTTGATGTAGATGTAACAGAAGCATGATGTTTTTAGAAAGTGTCAATCAGGCCTGTTTAAACCTGAAATGTGACGTAAATTGTTGTTGAAACAGTTGAAAAAATAAAACCTCTTATTTTTTTAATGAATAGGACCTATTAATCTGAATTCTCTATAAACATAGCGGCCAGGTTCAAGCAGCCATTTTCCAAAATTTTATGTTTACTCGCTACGTTTTTGTAGTTATTAATTTTATCTGTGTTATACTCACGCAATACTTACCCCTCCCGTATCACTGTTAAAGTTGATAAAGCAATAAACAAATACAAAATAGAATACAATAACAGTGATAGGGTGGTTCTTTTCTCATCTCAATCCTGTATGCAAAGTAAAAAAGTATTCATTGCTGTTCTGCCCTAAGAACTGTACTGAATTCATACTCTACTAAACAATAAAAAATTTCACTACAATTTGCCAAAATAATGTGTTTATTTTTAAAGATATGTTTGCATGTTAACTGCACCCATTCAAAAATCACTTATCTTCATGCAAATGCAACTATTACTGTAAAATGTTTGTGACAACTTACAAACTAGGGAATAAAATTTTGTTTATTGAGTTCTCTAAAAAACAATCAATATTTTTCATTGGTTTGAAATAAGGAGCCAGTAAAAAGGATATAATTTTTGTAATTCTTGGGGATGAAAATAAAAAATAAGCTTTTTATCAAAGTTATAGAACAAAATATTTAAATATAAAACAACAAAAAATAGTACAGAGCTCACTTTTGTATTACTGTATGATACATTGATTTACTGACAATTGAATTAATATTCAGTAAATTACTGTAATCTATGGAGAATATAATCATACTGTTTTGTTTTGTATACAGGATTGTGTTGATAAATCTTTCTCTTGCAGTGATGGTGAATCGAGCACTTAAATTGTAGGACTTTATTTGTTGGGTTTAGTTACCAAAGATTAAAAATTAAGTGTTATGTCACTTGGTAAAGTTTTGTACAGAGATAATTAATTTATTAGTATGAAGTGGAGGCAAATCCAACTTATTAAACCAAATGATGTATCGAACGAAACTTAAATATTTTTTTTTATTCAACACTCTTGACATTTTTTTAATAATATATTTTAATACAAATAGTAGTTAGGGTCTACTGTAATCAGTTATGAAATAGAAATTAAGACTATAGCAAAAGTGTATACATACTAACAACGTGAATAATACAACATAATTTTATGAGAAAATGCAATCTTATCTCCTAATGGTATTAGAAATTCTTAAGATTGATTTTGAGTTTGAAAACCCATCAATAGCTTGAATATATGATAGGTAACAGGAAATTTTAAGAAATTAGTCAATACTTTAAAATAATATTTCAAGTTATAGTTTGTATTTAACTGTTATCTTATAAAAAATAAAACGTAAAACTAAATAAAGTTTAAGCGCCGTAAAAAAGGCTTTCTGTATTTGCCTTCATTTCAGTACCAAACATTTGTTTTATCCCTCCTTCAACAATAAATACTTATATTATTTTACATCCCAAATTTGATTTTGTGTTCCAAAACATAATTGTATTGAAATTATAAATTTTTCTCAAAATACTTTAAATCTTTCATCACTTGAAAAGTTTATAAAACCTAGTTAAGCGTATTATTTAAATAGTATGTACATCATAAGTGAATATACCTCACAAACAACCGGTTGCCTGTGGTGGTGTTTTAAATAAAAAATACAATATCTTTGAATATTGATAGAGCTTCAGTTTCAACAAGTCAATGGTTATAACTATCCCTATGCAATATATTATAGCTATGCAAATAATAAGGTTACAAAGTTAAAATGAAAAAAAATTACAATCCAGAATGATATGATTAAAGATTAAATATTGGCCAGCTGTAAGTAATATTCACAGGCAAAAATAGCATAATGATATTTATACTCATACACAGTTTGAATGAAACTAGTGGTCGTACAGTGGTCGAAAACTCAACCAAAAATATGTAATGTACAGGCTTCTCTATTTTCACCCCACGTTGTAAATAAAATACGTGATAGTAATATCTTCCATTTATTTTGATTTTCTTTTTATATTATTTTGTCATTTCGTCACCAGTATAGCAACCCATAAGGCTGGTTAGTTTTTAAAAAAATTCAAATTCACTTTTTGTGCTTATTTTTGAGCCTACTTTAATTTATAAAGAGATTTTGCACATCTACAGGAAAATATCTTTCTAACAGTATGCGTAGAATTTCCCTGCGAAGCACACGAGCTGAGAAAAAAGGTTTTAAAGAAACACGCTAGCCTATTAATATATATATTTATGGATTAATACAAAATAAATATGAACATCAAAAAATACACTTTATAGAAGTTGCTGAGTGAGCAATTACTAGCAAGCCATGAACGAAGGGATTTTCACAGAAAATTGTTGACCAAAGAAGACTAAAATAAAAGCAAGGTGACAAAGAAAATCTTAAAAAAATTAGTCACACTATTGAAAAGCTGATTCAAGTTCTTTTTCATCATTATCCGGAAATCAGCCTTTTTAGTTCTCTAAATCGTCCGCAAATTCATCATTTTCGGGTAACTTTAAATAGGGAACATATGGTATTTATGGTATTATGGTATTTTCGGGGGGGGAGAAAAAACATATGGTAAATTTTTCGGTTCGCTACCTCAAAGTTTTATGAGTTTATAATGAAAATGCTGCTAATCACACGCTATTTTAAGTTAAATTGTAAACAACAGAAATTTAAACATTGAAGCAACTGACTTTAAATAACCTCAAATTATGTGTAATGATTAGAAGGTTATTTCCACAGTATGATGAAAATAGTTGTTCATCACACAGAGTGTCTTCTTATCATTTTGTAAAACACGATTGCGTACCAAAAAGAGCCACTTTCGCTCCTAGTAATGAGAACTACTATTTCTTTAAGAAACCTTCCATAAAATTTATTAAATAACCATAAAAACATACTTTTAAAATAATTTTTATAAAGCTCATATACATTCATAGTGTGCACTAATATAATAAAAACAAGTATAGTTAATTGTAGAATATTCAATTTTGAAAACCTTGGATAGTTATACTATTTCTGTAAGTTTTTATACTAATTTTAGATTCAATCCACCACAGGTTGTTGATTGTGGATATATGGACAAAAACTGCCTTAGTTTTAAGATTATTGTTGGTCAATACATTAGGCCAGAGCGGTCAAAACAACGCAAACATTTTAATTGATTGAAATAGAAATTTATTTTTCAAATCATGTACATAAGTATATAAAATCGTAACTGCTGTATTGCTAACTCTATACATTGTTAATCTGTATATTATATTATATAGAATTTTTCTAAGACCACTTATTTACTTAATAAAATTCCAAATTTTCACGTCACTGAGATGTTCCATGGTTTAAACTTGATTTTAAAAATTGGATATGCGTTTTTCTTGAAATAGTATTGATATTGTAATTAGGTACATTTGCCAATTTATATTCACTTTACCTTTATGAATAATAATGGATTTTATATTATTTAAATATCAAACTTGTAATAAGTAATATTTAAACTAACTTTTAGTATCATAAGTTTAAAGATTTCTAATGAAAGAAAAACATCTTATAATTTTACATTATCTAAACATTTTGCAATATTTTAAATACAATATCAATATTGTTTATACTTGATCCTATCCTCATGATTTGTTTGGCTCTCTTTTGTATGTTGTAACTTTTCACATTATAGCCCATGTAAGGATTATTTTTCATGGAATGTTCCATTAT